TTCATGAAGGAGTCCTCTACCTTCTGTCGCATCCTCGACAACATTAAGGTAAATCTGAAACCGTGTTTATAGCTACTTGGCTTCTCTGTTTTGACAGCACTGTCAGATGAACAGTTAGATTTAGCAACTTTGCATAAATAATGCAAAATGAGGAGAGTCTTCGAGAATGATTGACAGATGAATTGAAGGAGAAATTGGCTTTGAAAAAATACATCATCCTACAGTTTTGGCCGTTCCCCAGCTAGGCATCTCATCATATTTCCTAAAGAGCTGTTAACAACCTTTGTCTGTTCATCCGATTGAGAATGATATGCCCAGCTCAAACCCAATTCAGTTAGAAATCGCTCCCAAACTCCCCGTCAAAACCAACTCATAAACTTAATATCTCAATTGAGAGTGTGGCTGCAGGGAATACCATGAATGCGAACAATTACTATAAGAAAATCCTTGCAATATTAACATCTAAAGTTTTTTTACGAGCAATAAAGTGCGCCTTTTTTGAGAACTCGTCTCCCACTACCATGACCAAATATGAACCTCTTTTTATTTTAGGTAAACCCAAAATAAATTCTAAGCTTAGTTTATTCCCAAATAGAGTTAGTAATAAGATGAGGCGTATATAAGACTGTATTTTGGAAAGTTCCTTTGTAAGATTGACAGAAATAACATCTCTCAACAAATTTGTACACATCTTAGAAACTTTGGCCAGTTGTACCTTGTTTGAACTGAAGTGAATGTCTTAGCTCATCCCACATGAGTTGCTAATTCTCCCTGGAGTAAATCCTTCTTGAGGTGGGTTTATTTAGAATGCGAAGTTGATTCCTCTTTAGAAGAACTATCTTCGGATCAAATACCCATCAGCAAGTTCATGAGCTACAATTTTTTTTTCTATGAAAAAGCGAAGCATACATCAGTTGCATACGGCTCTTTTAAAAATTTCAAACCCATAATCTCAGTTTGCACAGCAACAAACAAACTGGATCATTTGCTAAGCGCATCAGCTATAGTAGTCAGCTTTATCTTTAAAAACGAAACTCAATTGCTTGAGCAGCCATCAGCTTCAACTTAAAAAGGCTAACTGAATTTTGGCATGGACAGAATGGGAGTGGAGCATAATTTGGTCTTGATGTTTTTAAAACAGGATTGTTGTGCTTCCCCCCAACTGAAGTTTTGGCTCTTGAGGCAATCACTGAATCGTGCCACTAAGGGACTGAAATTCCGAACAAACCTTCTGTAGAAATTCACCAATCCATTAAAAACTCCTTATATCAGTAATGCACGTAGGAGTTGTCCATTAGCAAATAAACTCTATTTATTTTGAATCTAGAGTAATTCCCTCAACACCAATAATGAAATAAAGAAAGTGAATTTTATCTAGAACAGAATCACATTTTGAAAGGTAAATAAAGGGGCTCTAAGGGCTTCAAACACTAACTCAAGTTATGAAATATGGTCTTGAAGGAAGAGCTAAAGACGATAATATCAACAACAACAAACATTTATCACACTAAGTGGGGTCGCTATATGAATCTTTTTTCTCCATTGCGTCCTATTGAGTGTCATATTTCATTTAATTCTAATAGATTAAGATCATTTTTATACAATATGCCTAAGTCTTTTTAACTCTACCTCTGTCTTTCTTAACATAAGTCAAATCTAAAACATCTACTCTCCTAATCAGATTATTAGATGGTCGAGGTTTAATGTGACACCATCTAGGACGACTCTCTGCAATCTCATCCGCCATTGGAGCTACGCCAACCCTATCACGGATATATTCATTCCACATTTTATCTCTAAGTATCAAGCCACTCATCCACTTAAGCATTCTCATCTCAGTAATATATAACTTTGTTTTATGCTTCTCTTCTAAAGGCCAACATTCTGCGCCATAGAGCATTGCCGGTCTCACCGCCATCTTATAAAATTTTCCTTTAAGTCTAAGCAGTACTTTTATATCACATACTAGGCCCGATGAATTTCTCAACTTCAACCAACCAAATTGAATTCTACCATTAGCATCCCATTCTATATCACCAACACTTTGAACAATAGACCCAAGATATATAAAACTTTCACACCATTTTAAAATTTGATCACCCATAGTTACAGCTTTGTCACCAGAGCTACTATTACTAAAATTACATTCCATATACTCAGTTTTAGATCTACTCAAAACGAGAATATCATCAAACTACATATAAATCAAAACTTGCTCAAAAAAATTGAAGCACCCGAGTCATAAGCCGCATAAAAGTGCCAAGTGCATTACAAAGGTCGAATGGCATCACACACCATTCATAGACGTCTTTATGGGTTTTGGATGCAGTTTTCCATTGATCACTAACTCATATTCAAATTTGGTGATAACCACTGCATAGATCCAGCTTCAAAAAAATGGCAGCCCAAAGTAGTTTTTCAAACATATCTCCTAATCGATGGAGAGGAAACCTATACTTGATGGTCATCTTGTTGATGGATTGGCTGTTCATGCACAATCTCCACTTTCCATCTTTTTTGGGGAAAACTATTGAGGGGCCAACACAAGGGCTCATACTATAGCTTATGTGCTGTTTAGAGCTCATCAACAATTTCATGTAAAATTTTCTACTCATTTGGCCTCATCTTGTAGTGTGGTAAATTCAAACATGCACCAGAAACTAAATCAAATTGATGTTGAATCGGTCGTATGAGTGGAAGCTGGCTGGGCAATTTGAATGGGGCAGTATCTTCAAATTGTTTTAACAATTATTGCATTTAAGAAGGTATTTCATTATTACTTATATTTTGTTATGAGAATAAGAACGCTAAGAGTATAGAATCCTTCTTGCAGTTTGAAACAAACTGTGATCCAGGAACACACAAAAAAGTTGTGTTATAATGCAGTTCCCGGAGTTTACTAGTAGTGGGCAGCAACAAAATTATGACCTTTCCAATTAAAACAATAATGTTTTCTTGACAATTATACCAAGCAGCAACGTCAAATTCCCAACTTCTGACTACTATCAATGGCTAACGCCCATATCATAAATATCAGAAAACGTCACAAACAAAACTACTGCAATTGTAAGAAGTTACTTTACAAATATTGATGACAGGCACTTCTATCCCTCTCTTAATCCAACCGATTTTATTCAGACGAGAAAATTTGGAGGTCTTCAAATTGATAGCCTTAATCACTTTGATAAAAATAGATTTTAGCATCCACTGTCTATCAGAAGATTACAGACTTTTCCATTGACCGTGCAACGTGTGTGAAAAATAGCATATCGTTGCTAAGCTATGGGCTGCCTTGGAGCAATTAAAACTTTCTCCAAGACAAAAGAAAGGAACTCACAATCATCACCAAAGATATCTTCAATAAGCTCAGCACCTACTATAGGCAATTCACAATAGTTGTTAGACACTTCACCATTAAGGAGTTGTGCCTGCTTCCTTTGTGAGGCCTCACTGGATCGGTGTCTAGGTTGGAAACACCAAAAACATTTGGAAGGTCCTCGGTCTACCATACGCATTGTCACACACTTTCATGCAAACTGCTTGAATGGGAAGGAGATTTTGGAACAGAAGTGCAACGAGAGGTTTATTTGAAGACTGAAAATTGCTCCCTTTGCTGGGCACTGCGCCAGCTTTGTTAGGTTCACAAATAGAGGGAAGTTCTAAATGTTGGCGCCAAGTATTAAGCTGTTTGTGACTCTAAATAATTTGCATTTCAGCCCTATGAGCATAATTTACTGCTTGAGACAAAGACCATATTGTGCTCATTTCTAGATTGCCTTGTATGAATTCTTTCAATCGCCAAATATAACAGCGATAAATTGCTGTGAGTTCTCTAGAAGATTATTACAAGCACTAAGTCTATAAAATTCCACTGTATAATCGCCAATGAAACAGTTGATTTGCAAGCACCTTCAATATTGCAAATACAATAATTGCTCATAATTTGAGGGAAGGAAGCGGCTATGCAAGAGAAGTTTCATTTTGCTCAAATTATTAACACTACTCTTCCCTTCACTTAGAGAAGTTCGCATAAGTTGAACCCACCGGGCTACACCGCCTTCTTTCAATTTGCAAGCCACATATTTTAAATGTCATTTTGTTGAATATCCACATATTCAAAAAAAGAATCCACCGAATACTCCCATTTTAGATAATCTTTAATATCAAGGTGATCATCGAACAAGGGAATGTCTATTTTGAGCTTGAAATCCCCATGTCCTCTATTTGAAAGATTCTGCCTCTGATGAGAAATATTATGCAGCAGGGGTTCTTCCTCAGAATCTGAATTCAAAAGGATCTTCCTTCACTTTGGTAAATGTTGCTCCCTGGGCTCAGGATACTCGGAATGTGCTGGATAATTCGCCGCTTGTTGGATTCTGATTGCCACCCTCCGACATGGCTCTGATACCAAAAAGACGGCATAACACTAGATAGACAAAAAAAAACTCAGCAACAAAAGGAGAATAAACCAGAATTCTATTTTTCCCAAAATCAAGTTGAATGAAGTAATTTTATACTACTATTTGGACAACCAAGCTATAGCCAAAGTAATAAAAGGTAATAATTTTTACAAGCATCTTGATTACCACTAAAACATTACTAGAACTATAAGTGCGATTATCTAATAGAACAGGTAGACAAAACGTGAACTGAAAATGTGAAATTCTGCATCATGAACATCCAACTACTTCTTCAAATTGCCCTCGGGTTCATCAGTAAAACCTGAACAACCAAGAAGATCATCGAATGAATATGTACTGTAGACACAGAATATTTCCAAACCAATAGATGGAGGCCATGAGGAAGATATACAGACATGCTTATTCCCCTCAAATTGTGAAGCCAGTTACAGGGATCGAGAATCGATGAAGGCCATCTGGTAGACCATATAATTTTCTGCATAAATATATTCCGATCAACATCTAAATTACAGTTATTTAGCTAGCGATTTTTCTTTCAAAAAACAAGTAATATCAACAATATTCTAGGATCAAGTCAGGGATTGACAAGCTAAATAATTTATTAGATACATAACCAGCACCAAGATGCACATAATGTTCTTATTCATCCACATACCACTTCATAATAACAACCCAAATCAACACATGACGTTACAGCACGTCATGTTTATCTCCAAATTAGCAAAATAGATGAAAACATCTCGCAAGTCCCACTTGATTAATTACAAAAGAGATTCAAGAGACAATAAGGCGCCCGACGACGGGATACTTAGCTTGGAATTTCTTCTCCCAGTCCTCGAGAACGCCCATCTCCTTCACAGAGAGGCCATCGAGGTTACCGGAGACGTCTTCCTCGTTCTTGCTCATCTTGGCGAGGGCGCGGCTGGCCTCGCGGCCGGCGAAGATGGCGTAGGTGCCTCCGGGACCGTAGAAGGACTTGCCTGTGCTGACATCGAAAACGACGCCGCGGATAGAGATGTAGATTGGCTTGCTCTCGTCAGATCCATCGTAGTCCTTCAGTTGATCCGACGTTAGATCCATGGCGGAACAGAGGCGAGCAGAGAGCGAGAGGGGGCAGCGGAAAATGTTGGGATAATTGCAGACAGAGCATTGCTATCATTAAAGATCATTTTTTTTTCTTTCAATAATGCATTTAATTACCTAATGAATGATTTATGGTTGAAGAACTTAACACTAATCATGTGAATGAGAATTTTGGATTTTGAATAAATTTATTAAAAATCATTCTAAATAATTATAAATAAATCTCATTATTTTAATCATTATTTTTATGAAATAATTTAAAATTGTAAATTACTCGGAGAATTTAACAACTCTAAAATATTGTCCAACATTCAATCTTGAAAATCATTGTTGGCAATCACTGTCATTTGATTATGATTGTTTGATAATTATTATCAGACTATTATTGTTTGATCTTTATTGAATCTTCATCACCAAATAATCATCGTCCGACTAACATTAACTAACTTTTCAATATACAATTATTTTTGCTTGACAAACATTTACCAATCATGGATTCTCAATATTTTCTTATACCATTAAAAATATATAATTTTAATCAAATTTACAATTTTATTTATTTCTATCAAGGATTTTAATTCGTTATGCAAGCAGCACACGTTTCACATAAATTTAAACCTCGATCAAATAGTAAAAAGATTATGAGTCCAAGTATCAATCCTACAAAGAGCTAAGTTAATTCTCAGATTAAGCTAACTATTAATCTAATTATTTTTTGTTTTATTCAACGATTGCAACTTCAAATAAAAGTTCAAAAGTTCAACATTAAACAATCATCAAAGTTTACATGCTCATAATCAAATTAAGTTTATTAATGAGAAAATTTTAACGAGTTTGAAATTATTTAATTATGAAGTCATAAATATTTGATGATAAAATAATGACCAATGATTAAATGATTTGAGTCATTCCATGTATTATTTTAGAACTTTGACGAAGTAATCAAAATGACATTTTCAAAAGCCATACATAGAGTCTTATAAAGGTGACTTGGATTGGAGTTCAAAGAGAGTTTAGAGGCCTATAGAACCCTGAAAATCTGCTCGATCATCAATGTTGACGACCAACAGTAGCTACTATTAGCCAATTATCATTATCTTTCTACCATCATCTAACTACTTTGTTCAATTATCGTTCTGTATTATCTTTTCAACATCACCCAATCACTTTCGTCCAATTAGTATCATTCATCCATTGTCAACATACCACTATTGTTTGAATGTCGACTTCATCTCTCACAACTTCTAGCTTAACTATAGTTAAGATAAGATGTAATTTAGATAAATCACTTTCTAATCCTATCTTCTCAACTTGTGAGGAAAGACAATTCTGTAATTTCACCATTTCAATATGATATGAATCACTAAGGTGGTATAAATGTAAAAATTAAAATTATAGTGTTAGAAATGCACATACATAGGAATTCAGTGGCATTTATGTAAATGTTCCCCCCTTTTTTTAATTGAATGTGGAAGTGGGATCCGTATCTTGGAAAAGGAATCACAGATACTTTCTCCATGCGTGCCCGCATTGTGCGCACATGCTTTTATCCTCTCATTCATTCGAGGAAGACGCCGCTGGGAGAACTCATCAATTAGTCGGGGGAGGAGGGAGTAGATCGAGGCTCGGCAGGAGGAGAGGAAGGTAATGGAGAAGAGAGCTCCCCGATCAAGGTTTTCTTATCTTTCTTCGATCTTCCTTCTAGTCTTCTTCATCTTCTCCTCTTTGTCAGAGGCCGGAGGGGAATCCCCCTTCGAGATTCAGCAGAGGGACAAGGTTTTCTTGCTTCCCGGCCAATCTTTCAATGTGAGCTTCGCTCACTATTCCGGATATGTTACAGTCGATGAGCAGAACGGAAAAGCGCTCTTCTATTGGTTCTTTGAGGCCGCGGAGGATCCCGATTCTAAGCCCCTTGTTCTCTGGCTTAATGGAGGTAAACTTGATCGAAATTTAATGAAAAATTTCCCCCCTTTTTATTATATATATATGTATATAAGTATGGTTTGATTTTGGGAGATGAGCTGTTTTGCGCTTCGGATTTTTTGCTTCTTAAAAGGCATTGGATTTTTTTTTCTTAACAAATATTTATTTTGAGAAAATCAGTTTGGGGAAAGTTTGAGTTTCTCTTTTATTTATTATTTGTTTTAATTATATTTTGATTTAAAATAAAACAATTTAGTCATGTTATGTTTGTCATGTTGCAAATAAACCAACTTATTTTTTAAAACACTCAGAATAACTTTTATTTGTTTTGAGTGTGTTTAAAAATAATTTGATTTGTTTTTAAAAATAAGAATATCATTAAACAAACATAGTTTATTAGCAAAAGTAAAAATTTTAGAAGAAAAGAGAAATTTACTTACATATCACACCATTCTTATTTGCTTACATATCCAACACCTAAAGTTTGATGCTTACATTTATAACACTTTGGTGTTAAAACTTATGCATGAAAATGTGTATTTCACTTTAGAAAAAGTTAATAATAGTGGCATTTTATGTGTAATATGAAAGGTTTGAGTGGCAAGTATGTGAATATAAAAATTTAGATATTAGATATGTAAATATATAAGAATTGTATCTAAGCCCATTTTGAAAACACCACTTTATGATTTTTCTAAGTGTTTTGTAAAAATGTATAGGCGGTTATGTCAGTTAAATTGAATTTGCTAGAGTAATGACTATTGATTAGGATAATAATAATTAATTAGCAAATAATTAAATTTATAGTAATTATAATAATTATTATTACCTTGATGCTATACAAGTATATTTGCCTGGGTCAAATTAGTCAACTCATTATATAAACTTGAATTATGCTTAGAAAATCGTTGATTGATAATATACTTGAAATGTCAATGACTCGGAATTTATCAGAGCTTAAGATGCCCAAAATCTTGAGTCTTCCATAATTGAGGCTACGTTTGAGGGAGCTTTCGGTAAAACTTCTTTAAAAGTGACATTGTCGATTGTTGGTCAGCACCCACGTTTCAAAATGGATATAATATGCCATTTTTAGCATACCCGCGTCTGCCGACGTTCGCAAAATAAAACTTACCAAACCTTCTGCCGCGATTTACCTCCTTTTCATCCAATGCAAAGGAGGGGGAACGTCGCTCCAAACGAATTTTAAATCTCTAATAATTACCCAAAGTTTATGTGTTTACATGTCTAACGCCTCAAGTTTGATATTTACACTCACTTTGTTATCATAACCCCATACATAAAAACACAGATTTCACTTTTAAAATGCAATAATGGTATTTTTTTGTAATGTTAAAAATTTATGTAGCATGCCCATGTATATGTATAAATGTGTGTGTTAGATATGTAAATACATAAGAATTGTGTTATGTATGTAAGTAAATGCCCATTTTTAAATTCCTGTTTCTGCAAGTAGAAAATTTGTGCATAATCGAAACCTATTATATTTAAAGTGAAACAAAAATAAAATAAAATAAAACCGTTTCACTTGTATATTGTGAAGTTAATATTTGTGTGTGAGTTTATAATGTTTGAAGCTTCTATCCTTTTAGGTCCAGGGTGCTCCTCAATTGCTTTTGGGCTGGCAGAGGAGTTGGGCCCTTTTCATGTCTCCCCAGATGGAAAGGGGATTTATTTGAATCAGTATTCATGGAATCAAGGTAAGAAAGAAAGACTCAAACTTCTTTTCTTTTATTTTTTCTCACATACTTAGCAATACTAAACAATAAAATTCATTCTTGTTTGGAGGGAGTATCTAATTAATTTAAAACAATCAAACTTTTGGGAAGTGTATACCTAAAATATAAAGTTCAAATTTCATTATATAATTTCCAAACGTCACCTTCATATTATCTATGTAATATGTGACATCGGAGTAACCTAAACCATGATAGAAATGAAATATTATTACTGAAATTCATAAGTCACAATGACAGCTCCACAAAACAAGAACAAAACAACATAGACACATAAACAACCCTCTAGGGGTGAGAGTGGTAGGTCTGGAATGGAAAGTAGGGAAGTGCGGCGATTATGGAAGGAGTTAAAGGTAGTGGTGCCTTGCTGGAAGCGGCTCACAGAAGGAGTTTTGGTGCTGGAGGGAGTTGGAGGTATCGGCGGCCTATCTGGAAGGTGTTGGAGGTAGGCAGCTTGCTAGAAGGAATTGGAGGAAGAGCAACATGTTGGAAGGGACTAAAGGAAGGGGTTGTGGTGCTGGATGGAGTTGGAGGTGATTGAAACATTGCAGTCTTCTGATACCTCGATCTTGTAGGTATTATCATTCAGCTTTCGGAGTATTCTGAAAGATCCTTTTGCTCTAGGCTTGAGTTTTCTAAATGCTCTTATTGGGAATCTCTTTTTCTTCAAATGGGTCCATATTAAGTCTCCTTCTTTAAAGACCACATTTTTCCTTGCCTTGTTTGTCTGTGCCTAGTACTTGTATTCTGCTTAGTGATATCTCTTTCAACTTTCTCGTGGATTTTTTGAATCTTGTGCACACATTCCTTTGTATCCTCGTTAATTTTTGAAGTCGGCAAGAGTGGTATCAATTCTAGTAGAGTGAGCGAGTTGTGCCCAAGTGCTTGTACAAGAACTCAAATGGAGTGCGACCAGTGGTCCAACTAATGGATCTATTTTACGCAAACTCGACCTGAGCAAGAATCAAATCTCATTATTTGATATTCTCTTCAACGAAACATCCCATTACGTTTTCAAGGCTTCTATTTACTACATTTGTCTTACCGTTCATCAATGAATGAGTTGTTGAACTGAATTAGAGTTTGGTGCCTAACTTCCTTCATAGGGTCCTCTAGAAGTGACTCAGAAATTTGACATCCTGTTGGAAGTGATGGTCTTGGGAATTTCGTGTAGTCTCACGATCTCTCTGAAGCATAAGTCAGTGATATGAGATGCATCCAATGTCTCGTGGCAGGGTACAAAATGCGTCATCTTCGAGAATCAGTCTACCACCACTATCACAAAATCCTTGTTCCACTATGTTCGTGGAAGCTCTACCACAAAATTCATGCTAATGTCTACGCACAATGCCTCTGTAATTGATAATAGAGTCTACAATCCTGCAATCTGCAATCTGCACTCTAGTCTTTGCCATATGACAAATCCTGCACTGTCTGATTTGTCGCTCTACATCTCTCGTCAGTCAGGGCTAAAAGAGGTGCTCTCTCATGAGTGTGAAAGTTAAACCCTGCCAAAATGTCCTGCTTGTCCACCATTATGGCTCTCTTGAACAATAGCCTTCCTCAGTGAGCACCTAAGAATGCACATATTACTCTAGTAAAACAAGTACGTTGACTTTGTGGTACTGCTCAATAGGCTTCTCCTGACATCGCTCCCATATCTCATTGAAATCACCGTCTACCTTGTACAAGTCCTTGACTATCTCAAAACTCACAACTCGATTTTGCATCGATCAACAAGTGACGACAACATAATGCTTCTACTACATAGTTCTGGCTCCTTGCATTATGCTTAAGCACGAACTAGAACAATGCTAAGAACTCTGCCTTAGTGGCGTGTCAGCCCTTCAAGTTATTATGATTGTTGAAGAATTTCAAGGCTTTGTGATCCATGAATTATGTGAACTTACTTGTCAGCAGATAATGACTCCAGTGCTCCAAAGCACTTGAAATAACATAAACTCCATGTATGTTGAGTATTTCCTTCTGAAATCATTCGGCTTTTTACTGAAAAAGAAGATGGGGTTGCTCCTCTCTGTATGTCGGATGTTTCACACTCTACCTCTAATAGCTGGTTAGAATCTGGTAATGGCAAGAATAACGCTTGGGTTGCCTTCTCCATGGGTGTATTGAAACTATTCTGATTTGTTCTGTCCACTGGAGTTTGTCTCCCTTCAAAAGATCTGTCAGTGGGGTGGTGATAGTGCTAAAGCTTCTGATTCATCGCCTCTAAAATGATGTTAGTCTCAGAAACTGCCTCAACTCTGTGGATGATTGCGCTGCTGTCTAGCTTACAATAACATCGATCTTTGTAGGGTCCATCTGAATGCCTGCATTAGACATGATATAACCCAAAAAACATACTCAGTCCGTCATGAAGTGACACTTCTTCAAATGGGCATATAGTTTTTCAGCTTGCAGTGTCTCAAACACTTCCCTCAGGTGTTGTAATTGCTTTTTCTCAGATAGGTTGTATGCCAGAATGTCATCAAAGTAGACCACCACAAATTTCCCAATGTGTGTCCAGATACCTGATTGATCAACCTCATAAAAGTGATGGGTCCGTTTAATAAGCTAAAGGGCATAATTGCCCACTCGTATAGACCATCTCGTGTCTTGAAAGCAGACTTCCACTTGTCTTTTGGTCTCATCTATATCTGGTGATACCCACTTCATAAATCGATCTTGGAAAAGATGGTGGTTCCGTGTTACTGGTTCGGGAGATCATCCATGCGAGGTTTGGGAAACTAGCACTTTTTGTCGATGGCCCTGCTCTTGATGCACATTCGTCACTACCTGTCCTTGGTCACCATCAGGACTGAAACAACACACAGATAGGTACTCTCTCTGATTAATCCTGTTGCGAAGAGATCCTGTATGTGTCGTTGTAACTCCTTATATTCCACATGTCTCAATTTGTACGTGGTCGATTAGGCAACACTGATCCTGATATGAGATTAATGGCGTGTTGAATATCCCTCAGTGACGGCAATTCCTTTGGAAGATTGTGGGTCAACACATCCTGAAAGTCATGTAGTAGTGGTTGTAGCGGTCTTGGTGTCACATTCTCATCCTCAGTTCCTTTTAGTAGGACCAATGCTGGTGCCACTGGAATTTCCTGAACTGACAGCTTAAAGGTGGCCCTCAGGACTAACGCCTCCTTTTTTTCGCCTACGCCTCTTGCATTCTTAACAGGCAATAACACAATATGTTTCTCTTCCTTCGTAAATGAGTAAGTATTATTGAAGCCATTGTGCTGAGTCTTGCGTTCGAACTTCCAAGGTCTCCCCAACAGAGCTCGACACGCATCCATTAGAACCACATTGCATCATACTTACTCCTATAATTGATCCCCAATAAAAAATTTGGCCGAGCACTGTTGATCCACACATATCTCATTTTTATTTTTCAACCAAGTTGATCCACATATCTCATTTTTCTTTTTCAACCAGGTAAGGGTATAAGACTGAGAATGTTTTTGTGTGGCCTATTCTAATTTCTTCACCATCAGCATTGATACCATATTTTCTCAACTCCCACTATCGATGATTAAGTTGCAAACCTTGCCCTTTACCGTGCACTTGGTGCGAAAAATACTGCATCAACCATGACTAATCTCGCTCGGGCTCTGATGATAGAACTCTCCGTATGAATAACAATTCTCCCTCGTCTCCGTGGAACTGAAATTCTTCCTCTGGGCTATCCTCTGACTCCTCATCCTTCACATCCTCGATGACGTCTTGATTCGTGAATGTGACAACTCAGCTCTTGGGATAGCTAGAGGCTATGTGTCCATAATCGTGACACCTGAAACACCTCATGGCTAGTACTGTACCGGAAGAGCTACCTTTCTCAGGCTTCTTCCCACTCTAATATAGCTTGGCATTTCCTTGTCTTGTCTTGTTAGCTTCTTCTGAGGTACATTTGTCGGTTGCAGTAGCAATAATTGACAGTTTGACTGAAGGCTGCTTCCAAAATGAAGACTATTGCTTCTATTTTTTTTGTATTTCTACCTTCATGCTAGAGTTTGAATATCCCACAACATCCAATAAGGCTGTAATTGCACCATATTGCTAATAACAGTCTTTAAGTCCCCCAAGTACTAGGCTATATGTGCTTCTCTAGCTTGATCAACTCAAATTTCATTTGTAAATGATAGAACTGAGCTGTGAATTCCTCCACTGAAAGGTCTCGCTGTTGTAGGTGACCGAGTCTCAAAAATATGTTATGGTTGAAATGACGTAGAAGGTATTTCCTTTGCATTGCTTTCTTCATCTTTTTCTATTTGGTAATCTTATCACTGCTCTATCTTTTACTTTGTCTCTATAAGTTCTCCCACCATAAATAGACATTTTTTTCAACTTCATGGCTGTTAATTTTACCCGTTTTTTCTCTGACTCATCTTTATATTCGAAGATTCACTCTACAAATTGCGAGCAACCAATAAACTCATATCAATCTGTACCTCCATCAAACTCTGGTAAATTCATTTTGATGTCGAAGTCTCTGTGTCCACAATATGTGGTCTCTTCTCTTGGCCCCTTATAATATTGAATTTTGAAGCGGCGTGGCCGATATTTCTTGTTGCTAATGTCTTTTATGTGGAACTGATTCAGATCTTCATCTCTATCTCCCCTTAGACTCTCCAAATCATGATCGAGGGTAATCTCTCCTTAGGTTCTATCATCGATTTCCGCGAGCCACTGTTGAAGCCAACAGATCTTTCTCTTTATCTCATCCCATGTAGTTTGCGGCATGCATCTTTGTGGTGGCATGATTAGGGTTTGAGTTTTGAAGTGATAGTGGAGGACATGTAAGAAAAATTTGGTGAGGGGTAAGGAGGATGCCAGGAAACCCTTGTTTAGGACTAGTGTTGAGCTAGCTTTGATACCAATGATACCATAATAACCCAAAGCACAATAGAAATGAAAATTATTACTAAAATTCAAAATTCACAATGATGACTCCTCAAAACGAGAAGAAAACAACACAAACATATAAACAACCTCCAAGGGTGAGAACGGTAGGTCTGGAATGGACAGTAGGGACGTGCGGCAATTGTGAAAGGAGCTAGAGGTAGTGTAGGCCTTCTGGAAGGGCCTGGCGAAAGGAGTTGCGGTGCTAGAGGGAGTTGGAGGTGCCGACAGTCTGTTTGGAAGGTGTTGGAGGTAGGTTGGCATGCTGGAAGGAACTGGAGGAAGGGGCTGCGGTGCTGGAGGGAGTTGGAGGTGCTGGCGGCTGTCTGGAAGGTGCTGGAGGTAGGGCAGCTTGCTGGAAGGGCCTGGAGGAAAGGTGACCTGCTGGAAGGGACTGGAGGGATCTGGCTTCGAGCAAGGGTGCTTCAGTGGACGCGGAGGCCGCAGGAAGAGATGGAATGAATGGAGACAATCACCATCTCCGATGAGTTACAACCAGAACATCTTTTTGTTGTCAGATACAACCCTTGGAAGGGAGAAATATCCGGAAGCGGAGATCTGAGATAAGCAAACAATCAAAACTACTCTCTAAGCAAGCAAATCAATATATATATATATATATAGTGAATTTAATCGTGATTTTAATAAGATATATAATAGATGATAGTAGATAGAAATAGAAGGAAATAGAAAAGGAAAGGGATGTAATAGGTAGGGAATAGAAAGGGAAAATGATAGAATAGGAAGGGAATAGAATAGGAAAGAGAGGTGGGTGACAGACTTGAAATTGTAGAACCCTCTTCCTTGGGCAGCAAAGCTTCCGAGATCGGTCGGTTGGGTAAGCCCTAGACTTCCTGGCTGGACTGACCGGATCAGCCCTTCCACCACAGCTGGGCTGCTGCAGGTAAGCCCCGCGTCAGTATCAAAGTATAAAATATACAAATTGGCATGCTTTCTTTGAAAATGATTCCTGAATCCATTTACCAGAAACGAAAATCACTCAATATCGTCACAATTCCGTTATTGTTATTCCATTCTGCAGTGGCGAACATATTGTTCCTCGACTCCCCAGTTGGCGTTGGTTTTTCATATTCCAATAATTCAAATGACATTTTGAACAATGGAGATGCAAGTACAGGTACTACTTTAAGTTCTAATTTTGCTTACATTAACCATTTGAGCAAGCCTCGCTTATTTTCTTTGTTGGAGCATTTATATACACAGCACACAATTCTTATATATTTACATACTCTCACCTAAACTTTCATATTTACACATATAGCACACAAATCTTTAATATGACCAATTTTTTGAAAGTGAAATACACCTTTTAATACATAGGTTTAAAAGACCAAATTGCTAAGTATGTAAATATGAATGTTTAGATCGGAGACATGTAAATTCATAAGAATGCTGTGCTACGTATGCATATTTCCTTTCTTTGTTATATGAATGTATTTTTCTGCAGCCAAGGATTCCGTCGAATTTCTCAAGAAATGGTTTAAGCAGTTTCCTCAATATAACGGTCGTGATTTTTATTTAACTGGAGAGAGCTATGCAGGTAATCAATATTTAAATCCTAATGCTCCTCATACAGACCTTCTATATGTATAAATGATTATTTCCTTATCATTCAATATTAAAAAATAATTCATTTCATAGGACATTATGTTCCTCAGTTGGCCCAAGCTATTGTGAGGTCTCCTCAATTAACAGGAGAGGCATCAATCAATTTAAAAGGGTATATGGTAAGAATTTTAAAGCAGCTTTCCCTTACCGTTTCGTTGAAAATAATTTCATGTTATAGCTTTTATCTGTGGTGGAAAACAGGTTGGAAATGCTTTAACTGATGATTTCTATGATCACTTTGGGGTTTTTCAATTTATGTGGGCTGCTGGGTTGATATCAGATCAAACATACAAGCTGCTACAGAATTTATGCGACCATGAGTCTTTTGTGCATACATCAGAAGAATGCGAACGTATACTTGATGTCGCTTCGGATGAGCTCGGCAATATCGATCCTTACAGCATCTTTACTCCTTCGTGCACGGGTAGCATCACTTTTTCAAGGAACAAGCTGCTGAAAAGAATGAACGTAAATATTGGATTTTCGAGCATTAATATAGCTTTGTTGTTGTACTTATAATCGAAATGCAATTAATTATATCTCATTTTGTAATTTATTTTTGCGCAGATTGGGAAGATGTCAGAAAAGTATGATCCTTGCACTGAGAAACACTCGACCGTTTATTTTAATTTGCCGGAGGTTCAAAAAGCAATTCATGTTGATCCATCTTTTGCTCCTTCCAAGTGGGAAACTTGCAAGTAAGAATTGTAATCATGACAAACTTTTAATTTAATTTCATGGAACTGTTTTGTGCTGTAATTTGTATTTCATGCCCAGCACACGTGACTGAATTTCTTACCTTCAATGTAAACATTTCTTTCCATATGCACCTAAACTTCCATGCAGTGAAATTTGCAGTGCTACTTCTGTTTTCTGCATTTTATGTACAATTTGGGAACTCAGTTATGTTATATGGACAAATTCTTTTGCAGTTGTAGTGTTATTCAGAAGAGCTACGTAATATTGTATATTTTTGAGGAATTTGCTTACGTAACACACAATTCTTATGTATTTGCATATCTCATACCTAAAATTTTATATTTACATACATATCACTTTGGTGTTTTAAACCTATGTATGAAAAGGTGTATTTTACTTTTAAAAAGTTGTAATAATGCTATTTGTGATGTGATATTAAAGATTTGAGGGATATGTGTGTAAATATGTAAGTTTATCAGTGAGATATGTAAATACATTAGAATTGTGTGCTAACTATGTGAATTCCCCTATATTTTCTTTAAGATTAGTGAGTGTTTATGGCCGATCAGAATGAAATCAATAAAAGGTTTGTAGTTTCGTAGGCTGAGTCAAAAGAAGTGTGTCAGTGAAGATTTTTCTTCATTTTCATGCAAAATCAAGTTTGATATCCGTTGGAAGATCACTATGATGCTGATAAAAATTTGAATTGGAGTTGGTGGGTTTAATGGCCGACTGAAGTAAGCCCTTAAGATGCAAGCATTTTGATTTAGGGTCAACTGTGATGCAATAGAGGCAGACGATTCGACATTTTTTTAATCATAATTTTTGTAATAAAAAATTATAGACAATTCATAATCATATGCATAATCAATACAATATAAATGCCTGTATATCATAACATGATCATCACTTCTATATTCGAAGAAAATCAAAATTATCGTTAGTGTTAGTTCAACGATGGTATACATATAACATTCACAAGTATTCAACAACATGCAAAAGTTCTAAGTGCAACCATTCATCAAGGAAGTCAAAATTATTATTATTAACTTAGCACACGATTATTTCATCTAGATTGACAAAGTAGCTCTACGACGAGCTTCCACAGCCTCTTCTCAAACACATCGCTTAGTATAAATAACCTGAAATTCGTAAAAGTCTTAGGATTTTCATGAATTCTTATCTGATGTCTTAATTTAATCTACACATAAAAATACAAGCTAGTATCTTCCTCAAATAGGTTTTTTTGCTTAGCTATCCTTTCTCAATTCCCTCTTAACCCCTTTTTCCTCCTAGTTTTTCTTTCTTCCTCTTACTTCAGTAATTTACTTGCAAATAGCCATACATAGAGGCAAAAACCCAATTCACAGCTTTTGACACTAGTTCGCCTCCCGCTACAGTGATCAGAAACAAAAAAGTGCTTCAATCATGGCAAACGTCAAAAAGAAATCATAGGGAAGGAAATGAATGTTTCAATTAGGGTGAAAGTGAATTTTCCTTTCACCGACTTCATTCTGAAACCCTAAATTGAGAGCTGCAGCTTTCTATCGTGCACCCCAACCTCGCTTGCACTGTAATAAGATAACTGGAGCTCTCCGAGCATACGAAATTGAAGAATGAGGGAGGGAGAAATGAAGAGAAAGTGATATTTAACTTGGATTCAAGTGGTTCTTAGCCATCTGATATCATCACAGTGATTGCATTCGCAATTTAGTGCGAAAAATTCTGTTGGGAACAGTGATGGGAGATTAGGAAAAGAGATTATGATTAGTCAAAGTATTAATTAGGTTAATACTTCAATAATTTACATCACCCCATACAATTAATTCATGTAGTGCTATTGATCAAATTGATCGACTCAAGATGTGAAATTTTATAAAATTGGTTTGATTTGATTTTGGGGAATGCGAACATTGGGGTATATTTTACAATTGTCAAATATTTTACTATTTTCTCAAAATTGGGTGTTACAACTCTCCCATCTTTATAAAAATTTCGTAATAAAAATTTTTTATTTTACTTGAATAGAATGGGATGTTTCTATCATATTTCATGTTCTTTTTTCCATATAACTACTTTCTCTGACCTGTACTTCTATTTTATCTTAACATGAAGAATTTGTCTATTATTCAATTTTCAGGCTCTTCAATGTATGTTAAATTCTTTTGCATGTCAATATCTTTGTATGAAATCCTCTGGTCTTTACTAAAAACTCATTTCCTCAACATTAAAATGTGAAATACATCATGTCTGATATATCAACAGGTAAAGCTAATATATAGGCAATTGGATCAGTTCTTTTTATGATTTTAAAAGGAACGATGTATTTATGACTTAACTTGCTTCTCTTACCAACTCTAATATCTTTTATTGGCCTGATTTTTAGAAACACAAAATCACCAACTACAAATTCTAGTGCTTTTTATCTTAGAGTCATAATATTTTTTTTTTTTCGATCTTGGGCAGTTTTCAATTTGTTTCTGATTAATTTGATTCTCTTTGACTTCATCAACTAACTCAGGATCTAATATTTGACGTTCACCCAGTTTCAGTGGAGTTCTGCATTTCATGTCATACAGTGCTTCATAAGGAGTCATTTTAATACTAGATTGATAACTATTATTATAGGTGAATTCTATCATCGGGATCTGATCTTTCTAACTGCCTCTAAAGTCAAGGACACGACCTCTACAAATCTTTTAATACATGAATTTTTTTTTTCTGGTTGCACGTCAGTTTGTCCATGAAATGTTCAACCAAGGTATAAATGTGTACTCAAACTTGTTTGAATACCTTTTCACACCTTGGACGTGAATCTTTCATCTATGTCATAAATAATAATTTTTTAAACACGATGCAATCTAATAATTTCTTTCACATATAATCTGACAAACTTTTCAGTTGAAGCTATTTTTCTAGTTGACAAGAGGTGAGCTGACTTTGTTAGCCTATCAATAAAGGCCTGAATACTGTCATGATCACGCCTTGATGTAAGAAATCCTATAACAAAATTTATCAAGTTCTCTTCCTATTTCCATTTAGTTCTAGTTAACGATTGCAATAATTTGTTTTGTTTGATGCTTAGCTTTGACAATTTGACTAACTTGACATTTTAACACATTCAACAACATATTTCTTCATATTTGACCACTGGAATATTAATTTCAAATCCTTGTCAATTAATGTTGCTTCCTATTTCCATTTAGGTCTAGTTAACGATTGCAATAATTTGTTTTGTTTGATGCTTAGCTTTGACAATTTGACTAACTTGACATTTTAACACATTCCACAACATATTTCTTCATACTTGACCATTGGAATATTAATTTCAAATCCTTGTCAATTAATGTTGCTTAGATGAATCATGTACCTTGATTGATGAGATTCATGTAGAATTTTCTTTCTCAAATCGAAATCAAGAGGTATCCAAAGGCAGCTTGTTTTTGATAATATCATCTTCATTAGCAATCTTATCCGACCTCTTTCCTGATTGAAATTACTTCAGGAGTTTCAGATATTCACTACTAACTTTATGAGCTGTCTTGATTTTGTCAATTAAAGTTGGTTGCACAATCAATTGATGTAAATACCCAAAATCTCCTAGCTTCTGACTTCTAACTGTAGGGCATCAATTTTTTAATTAATTCCAGCTCATGAGTAATGACCCAACTTGCTTGCACTACTTGTAAATTTATGATTCAAAACATCAGCAACTATATTTGCTTAGTTAGGATATTCTTGTATATCCAAATTGTAGTCTTTGATAAGCTCTCACCATTTTCTCTGGCTCATAGTCAACTCTTTTTGTGTGAAAATATATTTCAAATTATGATGATCAGTAAATACCTCACATTTTACGTCATATAAGCAATTTTTCTAAATTTTTAAAGCAAAGATTACAACAGCTAACTCCAGATCATGTGTCGGATAATTCCTCTCATATGATTTCAACTGCCTGAATGTATCGGTTGTTACCTTTGTTTTGCATTAGAAAACAACTCAAATCTCTTAATGACGCGTCACTATAAATCTAGAATCTTTCTGTACTTGATCGAATAGCTAACACCAAGCAATGGTCAAATATTCCTTTAATTCTTAAAAAATGTGCTCTTACTGAATGTCCTTTCTCATCGATTTGGACAATGACATAGCTATCTCTGTAAAATTTTTAACGGACCTCTTGTAAGTTCTAACCAAACCAAGAAAACTGCGTACTTCTATAACAATTCACAATTACTTTCACTTTTAGATGATCCACTAAAATTCCCTAAAAAATGTAATGTTTCACAGTCATAATTCACATTTCAAAAATTGTGCATGGTTGATTATGCCTTAGTAGCTTCAATTCTATCCTTATATGTTTGGCATAATCATTATCGGTCCTTGAATTTATCAGAATATCATCGACAAAGATAATGACAAACTGACCCACTTAAGGCTTGAATATTTGATTCATCAGGTCCCTGAAAATAGCAAGAGCATTTTTTAAGCCAAAAGGATAACTAATAATTTGTAATGATCATACCAGGTCCCAAAAGTTGTTTTATTTACATTCATCTCTTTGACTTTGACTTAATATTTTGATCTCAGATCAATTCGAGAAATACAATAGCACCTTTTAAGTGATCAAACATCATCTATTTTTGGCAATGGATATTTTTTCTTGATTGTAACTTCGTTAAGCTCTATAATCAAATACATAACCGCATATATCTATCTTTCTTCTTTACAAATAATACTGGAGCACACCAAATTGAATTTTTTTGGCCCGGTAAAACCATTATCTATCAATTCATGTAATTAACATTTTATTTCATGCAATTCCTTAGAGCTATCCTTTAAGCAGATTTTAAAATTGCAGATATTTTTGGCTGCACATCAATACCAAATTCAACTTCTAGTTCTGGTGGTAGCTCTGACAATTTTTTAGGAAAAACATATGAAATTCTACAAAAATTGAGATGTTCTTCAATCCTTGCACATATTTATTCAACACTTCTAATTTGACTAGAACAATAGCTTGTCACTTGACAAATACTTTTCAACATTAACTGCACTTATTAAAGAAGATTGTGCATTTTTATCATATGAAAAATAAAATGACTTCTTTCTATTCAAACTGAATTTCACTCACATTTTCTAGCATTCAATTGTAGCAAAATTCTTTACTAACCAATCCACCCTACCATGATATTGAAAGTCTGAATTGGTATTATAATTAATTGTGCTTGCAACTTTCTATCAGAAATACTAATGTGCACAAATATATCTCGATTGCATAGAAACCACTTCTCAAATGCATAATAACATATAAGGCACGAGTAAATTATATAATTTTAATAGATAAAGTAGCAACAAACTCTTAAAAATGAAAGAATGTGACACATCTAAATCAAATAAAATTTTGTGAGGTTGATTTAAAATCAGAAGTTGTAACCACTTCTTCAGATTCTTTAATCACTTGAGGGATAATTGTAAAAAACTTCGGTCTTCATTGTTTGCTCATTTCAATGCTATGAACTTTTATCCTTTGACTTGAGTTGAAGAAGGCCTTTTTAAAAATTTAGTTTTGCTTGGTTGGTTGCCTTTCAAAATTTTTCTGGGTTGTCGTTATCCTTGAAATGTTGGCAATTTGTTGTCACTTTTCTTTTCCTGTGGCAATTCATCTGAAGATGCCGTGTTTGTTCACATTTATAGCACTTTCCTTAACCCATCGAGCATTATCCAAAATGGCTACTTTAACACTTCTTACAAGCTGGCCTTTCTAGCTGTAGTTGCTTTTGCTTATCTTCTGATTTAAACTTCTTGCTTTGGGATTTCTCTCTTTTGTCAACATCTTTTTGTTTGTTTGCTTGGGGTTGCCACTATTGATTAGAGATGTTCAACTCATTTTCAATTCTGACTATTTCGTATAACACTGAGAAATTACAAAATTTCAAAGGGAGTCAAAGCAAATCTCAGTTGATCTCAGAGCCATGCAAAAATCGATGATATTTTTCGTCCTGAGTTTTGGCATAGTGAGATGCATATCTAAAAAGAGAAGTGAATTCTACTCTATAATGCATAACTATCTTGAACCCCTGAGTCAAGTTAATAAGTTTACTTTGTAATGTTTAGTTTGACTGAAGGAAAACTAAACCAATTATTGAAAATTTTGACAAAATCATCCCACTAAATCTGTAGAAGAGGTGTTAGCTAAAATTTATTTGTATGTTGTGTCTGCCGCCAACTCTCTGCCTCGCCTTCTAGCATGAAAGTAGTTAGCACATCTCTTTTATTCTCTGGATGAATCATACCATCAAGAATCTTTATAATCTTTAATAGTCAATCTTCAATAACTCTAGGATCACTAGCACATTTATATACAGGTAGCTTGAATGCTGAAAGATCTTCAAATGTTGATTAACTCATGCACTATCTTCATATATATGCCTTGTGATAGTAGAAGATTTTTCAATAACAGTCATTTTGTCAACTACTTGAGATATCAGCTAATTAATACCCTGTAACTCTGGTGGCTCTAATTTCTTCACTTGCCATGTTTTGATTATCATTTATGTTCAAGACATTTTTAGCCTGTACTTCATGCTCTACAATTGATCTAGAAGGCTGATCCTCAGTACTTTCTGATTCTTCTTTAAGCATATTCATCTATATTAGCATAATTTATTATTCAAATACAATTTATCATATAATAATTATGTCGCGCATATGTAATATCTTACGTAATATGGGTTATCTACCCTATATCAATCAATCTATTTCTCTGTATAAATTCATATTTGATCTCATTCTTATTTCTAAATTCAACCACTCTTTCATCATTATGTTCATCCAATAACCTTACTATGTATGAATCAATTCATATTCTTATTTCTATGTTCATCCCTCCTAATCCCTTCTTCCTCCTTCTAACCTTCTTTTTTCCTCTTACTTTGTTGATTTACTTGTAAACAGCCCTACCGAGAGATCAAAACCCAATTTACAGCTTCCAACATTAGATCGCCTCCTGCAACAGTGACCGAGAACAAAAAAATGCTTCAATTCATGACAAATGTCAGAAAGAAATCGTTGGGTAGGACATGAATGTTTCAATTAGCGTGAAAGTGAAGTTCCCTTTTAAGGATTTCATCCCGGAGCCCTAAATCGAGAACTGCAGCTCTTTGTTGTGCACGCAAGTCGAGCCGGCACTGTAGCAAGATTGCTGGTGCTCTTTAGGCATGCGAAAGAAACCGAAGGATGGGGAAAGGATAAATGAAGAGAGCAATATTTAAGTTGGATTCAAGTGAATTCTAGCCATCTGATATCATTACAACTGTTGCATGCACGGTTTAGTGCAAAAAAACTCGGCTGGAACGGTAACGGGGGATTAGGATTTATTAAAGTACTAATTAGGTTAATACTTCAACAATTTTATATGTCCCCGGACAATTATAATTCATGCATAGTTCTATATATCAAATTGCTCAATTCAAGATATATAAGTTTATAAAATATCTCTGGTTGAATTTTGGGAACTACGAAGATTGGGGTATATTTTACCATTGCCAAAAATTTTATCTGATTTTTAAAAATTGGGTGTTACACAAATTACTCAATTTGAATTGCCTATAGTAATTTTTCCTTTGATTTCATTGTAATCTCTTATCTTTAGTTATCAAGCTGCAAAGGAAACTTTTTCTTTCTGGTATTCAGAACTAAATAGAGGGGTCTGAGTTAAAATGTGCTCTGAAAAATGATGAACTTCATCAAACCATCCTTTGGTGTCACGTAGGTAGATTGTTTTCATTTGATTTGTTCACACTATAATTCTTCACTAATCTAACTTTTAGTTAAAATTTTTTCTATAATATTTTCTTGGGATGATGGATTCCAGAATTGAATCAAAACATTCATTTCATGATGCTCTAGACATTCCTCATGGAGCTTGCATCCACTTCAAAATTTTGTTTTGTGACATGTTTATCTATTCCCTTGCATACATATGCCATTATAATCTAGGTTCTTATGTATTTACAAATATCACCCCTAAACTTTTTTTTTACATGATAACACTCGAATGTTTAATAACACAAAAAATAACACTATTATCACTAGTGAAATACACATTTTTCATACATAGGTTTGAAACACCAAAGCGCTATGCACGTAAATATAAAAGTTGAGGTGTGAGATGTGTAAATATATAAGAAGTGCGTGCTACGAATGTAAATTTCTCTATTATATAACAATTATAAATCAATGAAGGGTGACACCAGCAGCATCATGCTAAATCCAGCTAACATGAAAATTTATTTTGTTCCCTGCTTCTCTCATTTTGGCCTTAAAACTGTTGCTGAATTTTTATTACTAGTTTTACTGAGTAGACAATATAAATCTCAGGTCTGGATTGTTTTCTCTTGTGCAGTGACATTGTTAATGAAAACTGGAAGGACTCCAATGCTTCCATCCTACCTATATACAAGGAACTTATAGATTATGGACTTCGAATTTGGATGTTCAGGTGATTCCCAAATTTCCAAGCAGTTAATGACTTAATAAAAAAAATGTTTAGCTGGCTCCTCTAGTTTTTTATGAAGAATAAATGCCATTATGAATTACACACGAACCACCCCAAACATTGATATTTACAAATTAACTACCAAGGTGGTTTTTTCGAACTACCGGACCAATGTATTTACAAGTGCCATGATCAAACTATTGACAATTTGCTAAAAATGAAAATTTGAGAAATGGATGAAAGAGGGTGGTTAATTTGTAAATAGGAAGTTTTGGGTGGTCTGCCTACTTTTTCTAGAGAAAATAATCAAATCGATTGCTTTGTGAATGAAAACCATGCTTTTCCTACAACACTAATCCAAACATTCTCTGATTCAGTGGAGATACAGATTCAGTAATCCCAGTAACATCCACCAGGTATAATGTGGACGCACTCAAGCTTCCAACTGTTGTTCCCTGGCATGCTTGGTACGATGATGGCCAGGTTTGCCTTTAAAAACCCTCTAGATTAGTACTTATTAATATTTTGCAGAAATATTATGGGCGAATAAAATTTTTTTTTTTTTTTTTTTTTTTTTTTTTTTGCATTAGCATGCATATTATAACAATAAATTTATAAAGTCTAGCTTTATGCCTCAATAGATTATCTCTTACAGCAATATTACGAAGACATTTGTATGTTTTTGCGAAACAGGTTGGTGGATGGAGTCAAGTATACAAAGGACTTACCTTAGTAACAGTAAGGGGAGCTGGTCATGAGGTTTCCCTCCATAGGCCAAAGCAGGCTCTTTTACTGTTTAAGCAGTTCCTTACTGGAAGTCCAATGCCAACATTGTCTGAGCATGCCTCCTTTTAATTTCATGCTTTTTATATCATGTTTCATAAAGTTTAATTTTAAAATAATAACAAAAATATTGAACAATTTGTATATTTTCTAAAGGAAACTTATTTGTAAGTTGTAATTCAGCTCTAAAATGCTCCATTTAGGTTTGCATGCAGTTAGCACCAGCTAATTCCCTGTGGCACATTGTTGTAAAAGAAAACCCAGTTCCTTATAAAAATTATAATAATAGGTTTAAAATATGAAAGTGAAGGTGTGAGGTGTAAATACATTAGAATTGTGTGCTATGCATGTAAATACATTAATATTCAAAAACACAATGGAGGGAGGAGTAAGCTTGTTTAATTTAAGAAACCGGCCAAAACAGTGGTATTTCAAAAGGTTCTCAATAAGGAAACCCACTAATAAGTAAACAGTCACAATCATTTGATACAGAAAATCAAGAGGACAAATAATTATATACCACAAATCTCATATAGTTTTGACAAGACGTCCTGAGTAACAACCCATACTTGCTCTTCATAGCCTGAAGAGCTCCTCTTTTCCGCCTCATTTACTTACCTACCATTGAAAGAAAGAGCCCAGCAGACATCATAATATAGTATTTCCAATTGATCCTTTTGCAAAACAATTAATTATCACAAAGCCCCAAAATTTTTTGTAAGTCTGAGGTCAGCAGCAGGCTAAAATCATGAAAGATTGATTCATTTTGCCTTTCTCCGACGATCTCTGCTTTTATCGCCGTCATGTTCATCCCTCTCTCTGCTCCCACTCTTCTCTCTCTCCCTTGTAATTTCTCGTTCTCTGTGGCGGTCTCGATCTCTATCTGACTCGTCCCTGTCCCTGGAAGAGAGCTTCTTTGTGGGACTTCGGCTGTGGCTCTTGCTCCGTTGGCGCTTCCTTGAAGAAGAATCATGGGAGTCGTCTCGTTTCTCCTTCCTCCCCGATGTTTTATCTAAAAATTAAACATTTAGTGAAATGCTAGAAGTACAAGGAAGTCATTATATAAACATAAAACAGACTTCAAAATATTGAAAAGTAAATGAACACATCACACAGGCTTGTATTATTCAAAGGACTCGTGCGTTTTTTATTCTAAAACGTAAACTTGTGCATAACTCTAGTTCATTGATACCAAAAAGAAAATGGGGCATTTACAATCATACCACCCAATTCTTATGTATTTACAAGTCTTAACAACTAAACGTTGGTTTTTTACTTTGTATACCAACCAAACCTTTGATATCATATGAAAGATACCAGCTTTTAACTTTAAAAAAGTGAAATGCAACTCTTATAGGAAAGGTAGTGTATATGTAAAATTAAAGTTTAGATGTTACTTATGTAAATACATAGGAATTGAGTGGTATGTTTGTAAATCTTGCAAAGAAACTTGGTCATGATGCTCATCTTATATGCTTTTATAAAGCTACATGAATCATCAAGAAAAACAAATTCAGGATGAAATTTCAAATATCAATAAACAACTGAATTGTTCATTAACGAAACTGACAACTTTATATCAAACGGCTAACTCAATAAATAAAAGAAGTGGAGTATTGCCTATGTAACAAAAAGGAAATTATGGACGTGAAAATATTCCAAGGAGTTCAAACCTAAGCATCAGGCTTTCTTTTCTCCGAAAGCAACAAGGATAACGTTCTGCTGAAGCGGAGGAAGGAAATTTCAAAGGAAACAACATCAATTATTCAAAATGCAAAAAAATTTAAAAAAAAAACACTTATCAAAGCTCAGAACAATAAAAAACAAGCAAAAAAATTTCAGGAAAAGAAATTTTATCGAAAGAGATCCAAAATAATAAAAATCATAAGATAAAAAGATTGAAGCAATATATATGGAACTCTCAGCACCAAAAAGGAGCCAGCATGCAAATGCCGAAGTTGCAGACACAGCCAATCAACTGTTTAAAAGGTGCATCTTCAAATCCACATGATGGAAAAAAGGAGGCTGAAGTTGCCATGTAAGGGTCAATTGGCCAAAACAAAAAATTTTAAGTCCCTCATTGTAGACTAAGAAGCTTAGCAAGTAGTCTGTTACAAAGCTGTTTAGTGAGTAGTCACTCCATTGAACAGGAAAAATGTCTTCAGCGTCAACAACTTCCTCAATAATTGAAATCTAGAAAATTTGTTTCCGTAAACGGGACAACAAATTCTGTAACCTACCTACACCTTTCTGGGGAATCTCATGTTTTATGTAGAAGAATTAATGCCATATAACTTAACAACCTGGAGTATCACATCAATTATCCTACAACATTCAAAAACATAGCTAGAAAATTGAAATAGTATCTCCCAGAGGTGAATCCTGCTTAAATTTAGTAAGGGGCCATTTGGGATCACTTCTGATTTTGATTTTTGATTTTTGATTTTTATTTTATTTTTTTTATGTTTTGATTCAAAACAAAACATGTTGGTATGGTATACGTTCAGTTATTTTTAAGAACGCTAAAAAAAAACTTTTTGAGTGTTTTTTTTTAAAAAGATAATTTATTTAAAAATTAAAAAAAGGAAAAAATACCCTAAATAAACATGTTTTTAAAATAAAAGCAAAAATAAATAAATAAAAGAGATCCCAAACAAGCCCAAAGTGATTCAATGATGAACTTCTGATGTTTCCAAGAATCAGAGCATGACTCTCAATATTTGTAAATAACAAATTCTAAGAAATTGCATAAGATTGAAAAAGTGACTGTATTGTTGAGAGATTTAAGCAAAGTCAGCTGAGGAAAGCTCAAGTTTCAAGCTGAGAAAAATGTTTGGCTAGATTCTAGCTTACACTCATTTTTTTTTTAACTCATGCTATTTAAATTTGAATTGCGATTTCATTAGCGTAAATAGATATAACTATGAGCTTTCTAAGGATTATTTTTTATTTAAGCAACATCTCCACATAAATATAACAGTGTAAATGTAACCCTTCAAATATCAGAACTCAAGATATAAAAGCAATAGAAAGTGTAAAAAATCCTAGAAGAGAAGGCAATATAAAATATAACACTGAAATTGATACTCGAGGAAAATGGAAGCGATATCCATACTAACAAGGAAGAATACAACACCAAAACCAACCATAGAAGAAGATAGCATGTTCGAGCTTCTCATAGCAAGTAGGCCACAGAAGATCAGCAAGAATGGGCCAAGAGACAAGCCTTAAGCCAGAGATTTAAGGCTTGCAATAGATTTGCTTGGATGGCTTAGATGCTTAAAATGGCCTTTACAAGGGGGTTGAAATATTTTTGAAGTATTGTTATTCTTACCTCAAAAACATAAAAAGCTAGCGCACAACTGAATTCAGGGAAAAAGCATATAAAGGTATTGAGCACCACAAACAAGGATTAGCAGTAAAATTATATTTCCCTAATTTGTTATCCTATCATAACTCCATTCTGATGTAAATTCAAAATCTAAGCAGTTAAAAAAGAACGCATGCATCACTAAACTAAATAGAAAATGATCAACCCAAATTTTCTATGGTAAATATCATTACACATTGCAAGAGCAAGTAAAGTTAAGCTGACTTACGAGATAACTGCTTATTGGTACCGTCTGAGGAACCGAACAAGCCATATTCTGATTGAAGCTTTCTACGATAACTCGCAACTTTTCTTTCAATGTCCTCCAAGCTTTTTATGCCTCTTTCTTCCAAAGATTCACGATATTCAATTACCGCAACCTCCAGACGACGTAATTTCTGCCTGAAAAAGTTGAAAAACAAATGTAATATTTCAATATGCAAAGTTGAAATTGCCACAAAATTAAGGATAAAATCAGTAATTACCTGTGTTCCTCACTAGCGCCTGCATCAGAGTGTACAAAAATGTCAGAATCAGTAGTCTCCTCTGCATCATCTGTCCTTCCAATACCACCAACATTGTCACTTCCAGATGAAGAGTAACCCAAGCCTAAACCAAGAGAACTTTTCTTGTCTTCCTCACTGCTGGCATCATCATCACGGCTCCATTTGGAAACAGGCAAAACAGGATCAGACTTTCTTGAATAAGCTCTTGCCTCAGAACGAGTACTTGGATGAGTTGAATCTGAAACTAAGGCAAAACCTTCTTCATTTGCCACAATATTTTCTTCAACATTTCTATTCCATTTTGAAGAGCTTAGATTTTCTTTAACATAATCAATGACTCTGCTTTGAGCATTATTTTCATGCAAGACATCATCATCTTCTCTTGAAAATCTACTGGAACGGCTTTGTCCAAATCTTAAATCATCATCTCGTTCACAGCCTCCCTGTTTTTCAGCTTCTTCCAAATAGAGTAATCTAGCAACCATCATATTCCTGCCACCAATAAGAGAGACACCATTATGCCTGCAGCGCCTTTCAAGTTCAGCAAGAGGAAGTGCCAAGAGCTCCTTCATGGCTGCACCTTTGCCCATTGCCAGTGCAGCATCTTGGTCAAGTTTTCCTCCATCAGAGAGATGATCTTCAGTGCTAGTTTTACTTTCAATTTCAGGAATATCACCACAAATCGAATGAAAAGGCGTTACGCCAGAGTTCCCAGATCGAAGAAAAGTAACACGGAGACCATTCACATATGCATCTGAAAAGAGAAACCAATCTACCCAAACTTGAAGAACCTTCAAAACTCGTTCCTAAAATAATTAAAATAATTGTGACATGTTCAAAAATTATCAGAAATAACCGTAAGATAATCACATAAATAAACATTACCTTGAGGGCCTCAGCTGTCATTCTTCCTGTAACACTACGATACAAGTCATTGAAGCTTTCCATAATGTCAGGTAAGTTTGCTTCAAACTTTGTGCGATATGCAGAAGCATTTTTCACAGGAGCACTGCTGTTATGCAGGATGTCTGATACTAGCATAAGCCTAGCGACTTTTGTAGGTATCGGTGTTTCCTTCAGTGTCAATGATTCTGCAAGAACCTCGACAATCTGCATAAAATAGACATACATAAAGAGTGAGCAAAAATTAAATGTCCAAAAACAACTGTTAGGAACATGCAGAAGCACTGCTTCGACTTTCTACACCAAGTTATAAAATCATAAAGTGTCGAAATAGTCCCCTGACTATTTACATGGGACTACTTTAATCTTGGAATCTGTAAGAGTGTCAAATTTGTCCCTATAATCTTTACATTGGGGATGAAATTGTGGGGACTATTTGAACTCATATTAAAAAAGTTTGGAAACTAAATTGACACTTCTATAGACTTTGGGACTAAAATGACCCATTGCAAAGAGTCAAGGTACTATTTTGACACTTTTCCCTAAGGTCATAACTAGAAGTACAAATTTCACAAAAGCATACAACCATACAAAACAAAATAAAAGTTACCTCCCCTGCTGCATCAGCATTATCCAAAGCAAAACCCATGGCTTCTTTTATCTGACTCCTTTCGAAGGTCAGCGCCCTCAACATATCCTCAAATTCATCTCTTTGTGGATCTGTCAAAGACCGTTCAACTTCCACACGCTAGATGGGGCACGGGATGTTTATCAGTATATTTCCCATCACAGAGTCACATTATATGAGAAATTACTTTGCATCAATTCTTCCTATGCAGAAGTATGGCATATGCAGCCCATGGAATATGTTGACAAGTTGAAATTGAAAAGGCAGCTTACCCTGCTTCTACCTGCAGCATATGTGGAAGAAGTTTCTTTCACATGCTCAGGACTTTGTGCGGCTGGCAAGGAGGGAGGAACCCACCTGTATCACAAAAGAATAAGTATATTTTCATATTTTCTATCTTCAAGTAAACCATTCTTAGAAATCTTAAGTTCGCCCAAAAAAATACTTGAAAAAAAAAGTCTCAATTATAAAGGACCACAACATCAAAATCAGCATTAGCCTTTTTGAAACAATTTGGGGTGTTTCTAATAAATCCGAGGTGTTTAGTTATTCATTCATTCTAGTTTGAAAAGAAGCATCAAATTCAACAAAAATGGATGCCTCCTCTTTTGTGCTATTTTAAGGGAATAATTTTATGTGAGCAATAGACCATCCTTCAGGCATTTTATGCTATTGAATCACATAAACTTCACCTGCCACTTCCAGTAATCATTATAAAAGGTTCTGTTCGCCACCGCTGTAAAGTGTCCCCCTGCATTTCACATAAGAATTAACAATGAGTTCATCACTGAGAATGAAATCATCTGTGTATTGGAAATGAAAGATAGATGTGCAATGATATATTTATGCACAATGACAATATTAATGAAATGGCTTCTGGTAGATCCACATGATAGCTTATTGACTAAAAAAATCTGCAATTACCAAAACATCCTTTGATACAAGCATTTTAATGACTTGTTCCGCAAGCCTGGCCCGGTGTTATTCACATTTTCTTTTTCAAAGTATTTTACCTTGTTATTTTATGTTTTAAAATTCCCAATTAGCTAAATGTATGCATTCATGATGCATTTCATTCATATATTTATGATGATTTAATGGGTTTCCAGAAAAAGCATGTGATGGAGCGTGCAAGAATAGTAGTTCTTAATCACAGCCAGAAGATTTGTACTGAAAAATTGGACCACATAGATCTGCCAACTTCTTTTTGCCAACTTCTTTTGCAACAAGAAGTTGGCAGATCTTAAGTTTAAATGCCGTATGAACAAAGCAAGGCACAAATAGCATTATTTTTTAAGAGCAATGAAGCTGATGTGTTTTTATTAATCACAAAGCCCTAATAGATAACATAGAGGCTGCATTCCAGGCAAATGCAAGACATTTCTATACAGAACAATTCTAATCGATACAAAATTAAAAAACTTCTTGGCATATTACCAATCATAATGATGCGGAGCTCCCTGAGTGCTGAACTGGGTAGGCCACTAGGACTGGTTCAGCCAAAGGATCACTTGGGCCTGCTGGCTCCTATTTTGGGGACTAGGGTTGCCGCTCAAGGGAAGGGGTCTCTTCTCCTAGTTATCTATTACATATATTTATTATTTTCTATTTTAGGATTACTTTTTTGGCTAAGACTTCTGTTTGGACATTCTCCAGCATCCCCCTTTTCCCTTCTAGGGTTATGTCCAACGGTGAGAATGTGCTATGGCCGTAACTCGTCCGAGGTGGCGTCTATCTTCGCCTTTTCTTCTTGCTACCATCTGCCCACCCCTCCGCCCATGTTTTCTGCTACCGAAGCCCCTCCTGCACCGGCCTCTTCCTGCTGCCCGCTATTTCCCGCTTCTCTCCTTGATATTGCCGCAAACCAGCATAGCACCATCTATTGTTGCCACAAACTCTTCTCATAGCCTCCTGCTGAGCCGCATACCATATCCCGCCTCCCTACCGCAGGCCCTCCTACTTGCCTCTAACTACAACTTCCATTTCCTTCCCTGCTATCACCACAGAACCCTCCAACAGCCATCCAGCTGGCCACAACCTATCCCTACCCCTTCTCACCATTGTCCACGGGTTGTCCCATCCCGCTTTAGCCGTCTATTATTGTTTTGTTGTGTTTTCATTCTTGCTTTTGAGTCTTGATTGTAAACCTGTTGTTTTGAGTAATAAAATATGTTTTCCCTATTATGGTTTGGGTTAACTCTGATATCATTTGATATTAGAATTAGCATAACCCTGGTCCTATCCAAATGTTTCCTAGCATCCGCTTCTACCCAAGCCACCTCCACCAAAAAATTTTCTTTCCTATTCCCACACCATAGAGAAATTTTGACCTAACCCTATTTTTCCCTTGCTGATTTTCAAAATAAGCAAACCTAAATTAATTTTTGTGCACTCTCAATTAGTTTCATGCACCCTCTTTCAACTCCCAACCCTAAAAACTAGCCATACCACTTCAACTCCCAACCCTAAAAACTAGCCATACCACCAAGCAAATAGATGCCCGAGCCTATATGGAAAGAGATAAAACAAGAAATTCATCGAGTTCAATGGAGGATTAAACTCCAGAGAAATTACCCTCTGTTGTGACAGAGAAATTCAAAGGGGCAAAAGAGACTAGAATTTCAACCTCTTCCATAGGGAGGATTTCAGTGATGAAGAAAGGCCACGACAATTTGAAATCCAGTATAAGAGGATGCCATAAATGGAGGACACAGAGACTTCAGGATAAAGGTGAATTTACGAGAGTTCGATAGAGGTATGAATTTGGACGACTTTATTGAATTACTACAATCATTTAAGAGAGTTCTTAAGTACAAAAAAGTACCAGAAGATAAAAAGGTGAGGCTTGCAGCTATCCAATTTAAAAAGAGCTCCTTGAGGTGGGAAAGCTTATAGAGGTGGGAGAAGAGAGAAGACAATGACAAGATTAACAAATAGAAGAAGATGAGGAAGTCGATGCAGAGAAAATATCTACCTCCTCACTACAGGAAGGAGATGTTTCTATGACTCCATCACCTGCAACAGAGAGACCTATCAATGAAGGGTTCACGACATAGTTTAACTAGTTACAGAAGAAGTGTGATTTGGTTAAGCTAGAGGAACAAACTATAGCCCGTTATCTGGGGGGTTGAAGCCCACTATCAACGACGTTGTGCAGTTCCAACCTTATTGGTCACTGGGAGATGTCCAGACCTTAACTCTGAAGGTGAATAGGCAACAAAAATAGAGCAGACAACCACCACCAGTTAGGCAGCCACCCACTGCCAGAGGCACCAGCAGGAGCATGTCTCAAGGAGTTGAGAAAACTAGTTCAGATAAGGACAAAGTCGCCCCAAGTGAGAAGCTCGAGAAGAGTAGCACGCCTACCAAAAATGCTTTAGATGTCATGGATTTTGGTATTTCGCCTCCAGCTGCCCGATGAGTCGAGTCGAGTCGTGTCTTTAACCAAGCAGGACGTCGTGGTGGAGGTTAGCAACAAGGAAACAACTGAGGAACAGGGTAAGGTTGTATCATCTTCCATCAGATGAAGGAGAGATGCTTATGATCAACGGGCCCCACAAACTGAGGATATGAATGATCCGCAGTGGCTTCGTCACAACATATTCTCAATCTGTTACATTGTAAACGGGAAAGTATGCAGTCTCATCATCAATGGAGGGAGCAGTAAGAATGCGGAGTCTATACAGATGATGAAGGATTTGGGTCTCATGACTCAGAGGCACTCTCAGCCGTATTCCCTAATGTGGTTGAAAAAGAACAGAGTCAGCATTGACCAAAGGTGCCTAGTTGAGTTTTTGATTGAGAGCCAGCTGTCGGATTAAGTGCGGTGTGCCATGGTACCCATGGATGTTTGCCACCTGTTGCTAGGGAGATCATGGCAATTTAACCGCAAGACTATGCACATCGGATTCAAAAATATCTACTATTCACCAAGGATAAGAAGCGTGTCCTCTCTCCGACCGAGCACGAAATCAAAGCTCACATTCCTAGAAGAGCAGCATTGGTGGAACCAGTTTTGGTGATGATGAAAAATGATAGGACTGAGACACCAACTCTAGGCACGAAACAATCACGATAGAGACCATTTAAGGATATCACGGTCGATACCTTACCACTATGGGCACCACCATTCGGGGAGGTTAAGGTTACCCTCACCTCAGATTAGGTTGAACTAACCGTGGATTACTTTTAGAGGATTCAATAGGCTATGTAGGACACAAACCCCAGTAATGGACCCTCAGAAGATTGGATCGTTATAGAGGTGTGCTCGCAAGTGGAGAAAACTCTAGTGATTTGGAAGGTAGCGCAATTGCCAGCGAGATCCAGGTGCTCCTTAGGCAACTGTCAAAGGTCTGTCGGCCCAAGGAGGTTCCAACCACTTTGTCATCGTCAACGTGCAGACCAAAGCTTCAACGAATGAAGTCGAAGCTCTCCCAATCTCGGGAGACAAACGCAAGGCACTTTGAGGGCTGAACCAGCTGGGCCACTTGAACTGGTTCAACCAAGGGGATACTTGGGTCGGCGCTGGCTCCTATTTTGGGGGCTAAGGTTGTCATTCAAGGAGAGGGACCTCCCCCTCCTAGTTATCTATTATATATACATATATTGATTATTTTATGTTATAGAGTTATTTTTTTGGTTGAAACTTCTATTTGGACAGTCTTCGACGTCCTCATTCTCCCTTCTAGGGATGTATCTGACGACAAGAAGGTGCTCCGGTTGCAACTCATCGAAGGTGGTGTGTATCTTACCCTTTTCTCCGTGCTTCCATCTTCATTGCACCTTCCCATCTCCCTATTTTCTGCCGCCAAAGCCCTTTCCCTCTTTCATCCTTTTTGTCATAAACCAACCTAGCACCATCTATTACTGCTACAAACTCTTCCCATAGCCTCCTGCTGAGCCACATCCCATACCCCACAGCCTCATACTGAACCGCATACCATATCCCACCTCCCTTTTAAGCCGCACCCCTTTATCCTGCCTCCCTGTTATACCGCAGATTCTCCTACCAGCAGATTCTCCATTTCCTTCCCTACTATCACCACATTCCTACAATCTCCAGCCGACCATCACCCATCCCTACCCCTTCTCACTGTTGTCCCCGGGTTATCCCACCCCACTCTTGTCGTCTATTGTTTTTTTGTTGTGTTTTCGTTCTTGTTTTGATCCTCGATTGTAACCCTATTGTTTTGAGTAATAAAATTTGATTTTCCTATTGTGGTTTGGATTAACTCTGGTATAACAAAAACAACAGAACAAATAAAGGATCTCAAAAAGCATAAAATAGAAAATATATTATACAAGAAACAGTTTAAATATAAATAAGTGAAGAAATAAAAGAAACATAAAGCAACAGAAGATGTAAAAAAAGGTTTATAGACAGAAAAAAAATTTAATATTAGGAATAGCTAAACATGGTTCAACTGTTTATAAAAATCAGTAATGCTTACCAAAAGATCAGCATAGATAACTGTAAGCATACAGTACAAAAAACTATGAAAAGAGGACCTAATTAAAGAAATTAAAAAAAAAATTTCATACCTGAGCAAAAGAGTAGAGTCTCCATACATAGTAAGTGTGCTCTTTTGATATAAGTTCAAACAAGAAGTTGAACAGAGCATTTCCACGACCCCTTTCCATTATTGCTTGTTCAAAAGCGCATCCTCCATCAAGAACATGCAACGCCATTGTGTCAATCACATGACGCAGGTGTTTATCTTCAGGAGGAACAACCAATATATCAGGAACATTTGGGGTGAGAACCTGCAGCAACAAGTCATCATTAACAAACATATTTCTGTAATTTCCATGGAAATTATAGAATTATTTTTGAAAAATCATTCCTCTTTCCAACTACATTTAGTCTAATTCCTAGTTCATCAAACTTTCTGAACAAATTTTCTCCTTGTTCATGTCAGCGCTTATCAAGTTGAGTTCCCTCCTTAGTATCTGCTCCTATCTCTCAGTTCAAAGATCAACAATAAACAACCATGATCCTCTGCTTTTAAGTTTGATATCTCAGGTAGCTAACATAGAGTAGTGGTTGATTAAGAAACAAGGTAAAAATTGCAGCAAAAGAAGGTTTAATCACATGTTTAGTCATGCTGGTTTGGCTTATAGAAGCTCTAATTCAAGGGGTGGCATTTAATCCACTCCGTAGACACAATGCCAAGAGCATCATGGGTAATAACTAGAAAAAAATATTTATTAATTTGCTACAGCACTTTGATGGAATTAACAAGCCGATTCCACTAATAGGAGATGAAGGGAGCAGATGAACAAAGCAAAGGGGTAATTGCTCTAAATAGACGAGCAAGGTGTGAAAATTAAATATGGAAGAGGGAGAGAACGTCGACGGCAGTGCATTGTGTGGGGTTTCCAAAAAGAGAAGCCTTATGATTGGGAGAATCAAAAGCGCGAACAAGCCGAATCAGAAGAAGATGATGTGCGAGAGTCTAGCCGCAGAACTAACGACGATGGCATGTGCAAAAATTGTGGGACTGATTTTGTGAAAGTGACACCGCGTGCATGTAAGCGCAATCGATGTCTCATGTGTGAGGGAGATGAAACTAGCAAGAGACAAAAGTCATGTGCTGTTGAAAGCCTGTAGGCTGAGCAAAGGCAAGTAAGCGTGCAAAATAAGTAGGCATCAAGTACACTGAATAATCAAGAAGACTAGCTGAACCAAGCAAGCCAATCCAAGAATTATGTTTTATTATTTATTTCATAAATAATTATTAAAAATGAATGTTGTTAAATATTAATGCTAATTTTTTTTACTTAATAATGTCAGAGATCAAGCGGTGAAAAATATTCAAATTGAAAGATTATAGGAGATCAAGAATGTTGAAATTGAAAGAAGGAAGAAAGGATTTGATTAATTGGAGAACAATAACAAATTTAATAGTGGTGATCAGAGATTGGGGCTGTAGGAAGTGGTAAGGACGGATTGTTTTAAGTAAATTTAAACTAGTTTCTTTAATTTGAACAGTATTAGTATCTATTGATTGATGTAAAAATTGAAATTTAGGTCCTAGATATGTAAACACATAAAAATTGATTGATATGTATTTAAATCTTTCTTCAATTTTACATAAAAACATATATTTTTATATTATAGTCATAAAAATAATTTTTCTAATTTTAGTTAATTAATTTAGGACGCGTCTTGTGTCCTGCACATGTCCTATGAGTGTTCTCTTTTTTAAAATTATTTAAATCGGACACTTTTATGTCGTGGCCGACACTTGTCGAAGCAGTGTTCATGTCTGATACGTGTTTGACATTGCACGCTCCTTAATTAAATGTGTTCGTGCATCATAGGATATCAACAACAAAAAATCAACTAGTCCATGATATATAGAAATACTAATAATAATGACTAGTCAATAATTCATCCACCATTTAATTTTCTATTTTTAACAATAGATATTTAGGAATTAAATAGCTTTCTTAGCTGAGGAAAGGAATCCTTAGAGCAAGGGCTAGGAGTCAGTATTGTGCTTAAGAGCCTAGATGAAGTGATCTTGACCAATGCTGTATGATTCAACTTTCAGGTCACCAATAACCAAACTGAAGGCATTGATAGCCAGTTAGAGACTCACTGAAGTAGTCAATGCTAAGCATTTCCATGTATACTCAATCTTCGAGCTGACTGTTAATCAAGTGAACAGACTATATGAGAGCAAAAGAAAGTTTCTTAACAAAGATATCTTCTTCAAGTAAAGTTAAATATTAATATGTTTAAATATTTCAAGATCCAGATTCCAAGGGAGCAAAAACACCTTACTGTGTTCCTCTTAGACGATAGAAAGATTAACGGTTGATCTATTATGCCAGAGTTTGCTTGGCCTACAATTAATGAAGAAATAATGAAAGTCGACCCATTGATCTAGAGCCAAAATAAACCCCACAGCACTGAAAAGCATATGTGCGCATTAGCAAATGATGCAAAAGTATGGGAAACTGATATGAATGCATGCTTACAATCGATAAATTTTACAATTTTTGAACTCACACGGCAAGCAGAATAAACCAAGAGCAACAAAACTGGTTGAGTTATAGCAAATTTTATTACTAAAAAACAACAGCATCATGTTAAAGGCACCATTAATATGCCCAGGTTCATAATTACTAGAGGTGACACGTAAAAAATGGTTATGGGTATTTTCGAAAAAAGGCTTCTTCTCTCTTCCCTTTTTTTGTTATTTATCATGGAATTCCATTTTTTTCCTGCTTTGCTTTCCGTAAACCAAGCTATGCTGATAAACAATGCAAAAATGAAAACAATGGAATCGATAGATGAAAAATCAAGGGGGGAAAATAAAAATATGAACTAGTAAAATTGAATAAAAATGCAAAAAACACTCATCAAGGAAATGCTATTCCTGTTTCTTTAACCCCCTTCCTCCATGTCTATAGCTCAACAAAGCACTAACCTAGGTTCCTAGAAGAAAACTTGAAATATTTTTTAAAAGAATTATAAATTAAAACCTAGAACTAAAAGCGGCAGCAATTAAAACATGAACTTAGGCAACAAGATGTGCAATCATTTTTCAAATTCCTTGTCCGTTATGGTATGCTACAATATCAACTTCAAATGCTAGCCCGTGAGGTGCCAAGGAACTTATTTCAATAATGAATAAATATCATATGCATTCGAGTATATAGCCATAACAGAAATTATTATAATCATGAAAATAAATTAATAACCATGAGCAGCAGTTCTGAAAAACTTTCAGAACAATAAGGCTGCATAAAATAGACTGAAAACTGCTTTTTTTATTATTTCTACTATATTTTCAATCTAAATATTGAAAATTGACCTTGAAACTATTGATGTAGAGATTAATAGGTGTTAAGGGGGAGGATGTAGGTAAGAATAAGAGTGGCAAAAAAAAAATGTCAAGTCATGGTATTGAGCTCATAAAGCATGGACTATCCAGTGGATATGTTTGACCGATCCAAGTTCTTCCATAAGTTATAGAAAAAGATGAAAAACAGTAGAACAAATTGTTGGCTTACAGTAATGTGGCAGCATATTGGAAATAGTTTTCCTACGTGGATGAAAAAGCACAATAGTATAAAAGCTCATAACAGAAATCTAAACCAACAGAAATATACTACAAAATGCATCAATCAACATACCAGCTCAGAATTTTGGCCCGTAACAGAAGTAACTGGCAGACCATCAGGTCCAGACAGCACAACAGTCCCTCCCTGTCAATTAACGCATTCTAACTAATTAGCAACTACAAGTGGAACTTTCAGAAAACTACATAGAAGATTCATGTATACTCTACTACTGAGTACATTATAAAAGAAATTTTGAAGGAGTACAAATATAGAAGAACACGATACCAGGTGAAACTTACATCCTTGTTACGGATAGCCATCTGTCCTGGGGGTGGAGCAGGGAGGGCCTGAGCTGGAAGTGCAACAGATTTTCCCCAGCCAATCTTAAGCTCATACTCAAATATCACCACACCTGTAAAGAAGAATCATATAAACATCATTTAGCTTTCACCAGGTAGAGTATTAAGAAGATAGCCATTTATTTTGTCACAATAATCTAATACATCTTGCAAGTTATCTATTCTCCATGACAAACATTTTGGCTTGTGCTGCTTTCCCACAATAATGCAATTGCATTCTTAGTGATAAAGATGACAAGGAAAACCAAATCAACGCGATATTTTATAATGAAAAAAAAAGTTCATGGAGAACATTGAAAAATATCAACATTCAGAACACATTTAACCTAAAAATAATTTAATTATCACTATTTTGGACAAAGAAAGCAAGGTTGACCTCATTAACAAGACGTATCACATTTGCCATTAGTCCAAAAAAATTAGCATGGATATTTACCATTATTGGATGGGCCATTTACATACATACCACACAATTCTTATATATTTACATATCTAACACTTAAAAGTTCTTATTTACATGCATACCGCTCAAATCTTTAATATCACATCAAAAATACAATCATTACTGATATTTTAGAAGTAAAATACACCCTTTCATGCATAGGGTTATCATATCAAGGTGTTACAAGCGCAAGTATTAAACTTTGGGCATTAGATATGTAAATTTCCCTTTTATTTTTCTTCCTCTTATGTTGGCTAGGGAATTCAAGATTGACAATGATAGAATCCTTCCATCCACTACCTTAGGATAAAATAATTTTAACTCAGGCCTCAAACAGTCACCCAGACAGGATAAAAAAACATTTGATTTCCCCTAATACTTTTATTGACTGCTAGAATCCTACTTTAACGTTTATATGATGCATAAAATAAAAGAAGCAAGGAGAAAAATAAAGGATGGTATCAAGAAATTAAATGCCTTCCATAAAACCCTCAATTTATATAATTAATTCCCAAGAAAACTGGAAAAGAAGTATAGTATTCCACACAGCATACATGCAAAATGGTAATACATCACTATATGTACCAAAAGTTTCTGCAAAATAATGACTTGAAAATATTCGTATTCACTTTTCTTTTCCTATTGGTTGAAAGTGTAGAAATGTTTTATTGACGACAACCTAAATTCAAAATCACCATCATAAGCGCCATTCACCGACAAAAAACAAGAATGGACATTTGGATTTCAAGCTTTAACTGAAATTTTGGGAATTTTAGAAGACTTTTCCAGGATTATTTTGTCTCATTTTGACACTTACAGATCCAAAGCTAACTGAGAAAAGACCTGAGAAAGTAAACTGATTCACCAATTCACATAGACTCAAAAATTACAGGTTATATCTAACCTTGCATTTCATCCTTAGCTGCCTGTCCATCAACTCTGTTCATGAAAGCAACAAAACCACAATTTCTCGCTCTTCCTCTGTTCTGGGCCACATAATCTTCACACTTGCTATAGGGCCAAACCTACCAAATGTCCTTAGAAGAAAATTTTCATCAACCTGCCATTGCACCAATCACAGGAGAATAGTAGGATAACCATCATATCAATCTTCAACATAAACAATCCAGAGACTTGAAAGTATTAGAACATTGTACCTGTGGTGAAAGGTTTCCAACATACAAATTTGTTGTCTGGGGATCACCATCATCAAATGAACCAGGAAGTTTTCCATTTAAATCAAAATCATCTGGTAGTTCATCAAAACGGCTAGATGGCTGCACGCGGAATATTTTTCGATTAATTAAATTACTAGACATTAGGTACAAAAATAATTAATTTAGCTGGTCAAAATTGGAGACGCACAACAAAGAAAATATTTCTTTATTTGGGCTTTTTGTTCTGTTCATGATACGGGCGGTGAATGTGCATAAAACTGTGATTAAAATGGTTTCAAAATTCACTGGAGCCAATAATTGAAGTATCAATCACAGGATTTATTTAATAGTCAAAATTTGAACTGTGGTGAAAATACAAAGCTGTAATTATAACTGACAACATAATCTTTAGATTGATGTTGCATTAATTTCTATGCTTCCAAACCTTCATTCTCAACAATTTACCATTTAGACTGTTCCTTTAATAAAAAAGCATCTAATATCTTTCTTATTACAAAAAACATTAAATACCTTAATAATTAAAGTCATGAATAACAGTTTAAACTATGGTATGGATGTGCATTACTGAGGCAATAGAGGAAAAACTAAAACAAAATTCAATCAGCTATTGTAAGTATAAGCACGTACAACTTTAGGTATTAGGGTCTAAAACAAATGAAATTTCTTGACATATGCTGAAATGCAAGATCATTTCTTTTTTGTGCCAGCATTTTTTTTGTATTATTCAAAGTTTATTTATTTATAGATTAACATTCGAAATTTTGTTTTTAAATGCTGCATAATAGCAAAAATAAGAGAAATGTGCTTCGTTCGTTTTCTTGGAGAAATGCCCATAAGCTCATGTTAGACCAAAATACCACTGCTTTTGAATCATGAAGTGCTTATTTACAATCTATCACGATCAACATTAGTTCAAATAAACTTTGAACAAGATTCAAATCATATAGTAGTAAGGTTTAACCACATAATCCATAGTAAGATTTAACATCCTGTACGAATCATATTTCAATCTTAAATGAACTTTATTCAAGCAATGTTCAAACCTTGTTTCAAACATGTTAAATATGATTCGAACATGGAGAGAACAAAGTTCAAGAAAATTTGATCATAGTATGAAAATAGTTCAAGCAAAGTTGAAAAAACGGATTAAAATACAATAACATATATAGTTTGAATGAGTACTTATTTAAAGTCATGTATGATCACAATTGATTTCATTGAGGTTCGAACCATTCTCAAGCAAATAGTTGGTTCATATCCATTCCATCACAATATTTAAAATATAGATCAAGCACAATTCGAAATGGATCAAACAAGGTTCAAATAAGCTTTACCAAGATTTGAACATGGTTCGTACAATATTCAAACACGATTTGAATAAGTTTTGAATATGAATTACAACAAACCACAACATTTAAAATAAAGATATTATACAATAACTATAATATATTACTTTATAAACAACTTAACATAATAGCATGAAAAATAAACACAACATCATAACATCTACAACACAATTGACTACAGCACAAGCTATAAGAGATTCATCACAATAACATAACAATTACAGTACAACACATTATGAGAAATTTAACACATCATAAAAATTACAGCAGAACTACAACACAACAGCTTATTATAAATTTAGCATAACAAAACAATAATTACAACACATCAACAAAAATAAAACCACAACATAACATATTATAAGAAATTTAACACATCACATTAGTTACAACACAGTTACTTCGTAGAAACTACAACACAACATATTATGAAAGATTTAACATAATATCACAAAGTACAACTATAAGATAATATATTATATTAGATTAATACAATAATAATATCACAACAGAGTGCATTTCAAGAGACCTAATACAATAAGCATAACATAGAGTGCACTTGAAGAGATGTAACACATCATCCATAACATATCAGATATAAAATTCATATGTAATGTGAAATAAATCTACACTGAAAGAGAAATTGAAGTTAAACTAGAGAAAACAATGTACATTTAAATGGACATGGATCTCCATTGTTGTGAAATAAATTCACACATTAGTTATCCTTGTAGAATTGTAGGCAATCAGCATAACTTCCTAAAAAAATCTATTCTTTTAAACCCTAATAATTTGACATTGTTTTTATGCATAATGGCAAGAGATGGACTGACATCCCCTACCTTCTTGGCATCCCTATCAGCAGATATGAGATATTAACTCAAATGTATGAATTTTTTATTTTATTCACAACTTCTACTCATGCTCCATTGGCCATTCCACTTTCTACAAATTATTTAGTCTACTAACCTTCATTATAATTTATAAAGTACTAAACCATGCATCTTTGCTTGACACTGCCATTACCTTCAATAAGCCTTAATCCTCATAAAATCACTTCTAACTCAATCCTTACTAGCTTCACCACATGTCCAAATTCATAATTCTTTAATAAAAGTTACTCGTACTTCTAAGTGATTGTATCAAGAAATGGAATAATTAAGGGGGTTAAAGTTATTGTCAATTTGGAGCTTTAATTTAGTATGATTTAACACCTATATATATATTTTTAATTTGGTGTAATCTCCCTTGTCGTTATCCTTTTTCTAACTATTCGAAATCCCTTGCATAATTTTTTTTCGTTCAAATAGATTTTTAAGTCTATTTGCACAACCTGAATCCAAATTCTTAAAATCCCAATCTTTATACATTAACTCTACCTCCCCAAATTGTTGATGTGCATTTTTGACTTTGTAGTGCATGCTAAAAACATAACCTAATAATTTATGAATTGACCTTCATAAGTGCTACTTGCATCATCAGCATCACATCATTAACCTTATCCCAACTATTTGAGGCCAAATTTATTAATCCACATTCCCTAAAAAAAACAATATGAAATAATTGAGAGAATGATGTTATGATGCTTTATTTTCTTTCTTTTATTATTATTATTATTGTTATTATTATTATTATTATTATTATTATTATTATTATTATTATTATTATTATTATTATTATTATTATTATTATTTTATTGAAGTCTTGATCAAAAAAATAACATATTTACGTTTGAAGCATGAACAACAAAGACTGCATTATGCATCAATTAGAATTAATGTATGAATAACAGGAAAAATAAAGAACATAACAAAAAAACATGCTTACCAAGGGATATAAAATACAGAAGAGATGGTAAAAGAATAAATTCATATAAGCGATACAAAAATTTAAGAATAGATTAAATAACTAATTGTGGTGTTGAAGGCAGGTTAGATGCCTCTCGTCGTATGTGATGTTAGTGAAAGAAAGGCTATAGCTTGCACACCTCCCAGGCAGGACACTGTTACAGGATGTGTATATGTGTTTACCAAAAAATGGGCAAGCACCTTGCCTTTAATTGACTAAATGAGTGCTAACATTTCAGAGATGGAAGATAGAATAATTTAGTGATGAGAGTTGGCATGGATGATGAGTAAATGATATAGAAACTTAAGGAAACAAGATTCACGCCAAGAAAGTGCAAGTAGACAACAACAACAAACAACAACAACAAAGCCTTAATCCCACTACGTGGGGTCGGCAGATAGACAAAGCAAGATATTTAATTCAGAAATCCAATTATATAGAAGTAAACATTGATGAGATGAATATGAAAAAATCATGCCACAATCTTAAGAAATTTAAAAATTTCAGATACTTGGATTACCGAGCAAGATTTGGAACGTCAAATGAAATGAAAGATTGAAAATTAATTATTTTTTCTGACAAATTTTAAAAATAATAATTATTATTTTATCATCATCAAAAAGCATATTTGCATCATTGAAATAGTTATAATATGTCCAACTCCTTTCATAGTTTCAACAAGCCTCTAAGGTAGTGTCTATGGCCTCAATGTTGGTCGTTTAATTTACCATGAAGGCCCTTAGCACTTTCAACAACATAGGCAACTAATATGGCATCAATGAGCATCAAGACGTTACTGGAAAAAAATGTGTATGCTTACAATGCTTGAGAATAAATGAAAGTAGCATTGCACCATAGAATAAAGTTAGAATAACCACAACTTATGATTTAAGCATCACGATTTAAAAATATTTATTTATTGCTTTTGCATTATAATGCATTCTTCTTAATTATTTCATGCAATGATATCCCAATATTAAATTAAAGAAAAGCTTACAGTAGAAATGTCGCCATTGCGCCCTTCACGCCATTGCTCACGTTCTTGATTTCGCTTTTCTCTCAGCTCTTGCTCAGCCTTGAGCTCCTCCAGAAAATTGTCGATAACCCGTGGCTTTCCTTTCTCTTTCTCCTTCGGTTTCTCTTCCTCCTTCTGCAGATCATCAAAAAAATTCAAAATAATCATAGAATATTGATTGGTTAAGTTTACTACTTATATTTAGTGAGCCAATAAATACCATCAAAGTAAATTTAAAAAAGAAATCACCCTTGTAGAACAAACATGCAAAAAAATGCCAAAAAATACAGAACAGCGCATTGATTATCGGTTGATAGTAAACAGATTAAACTAAGTAATTTAACATGCAAAAAACAGAACAAGAATGGAAAATGCGTACAATGCAATACAAAATCAAAATCAAACTCAAAATTTTTTGTTCATCTTAACAAAGAAGGGCAAAGGGCTTGTTAAGCCATTGAGTTGTACAATTATAACACTACAAGCTATTTTTTCCTTGTCAAGTCCACAAAAAAACAAAGAAAAATATGGACACCAAAATGTAAACGAGCCATCTCAGGCACAAAAATAAATAAACAATCATTCCTTATTCTAACAAAAATGTTTTATAAACTTATTTAATGTGAGGACTACTATAATTGAAAATAAACAAATTCTTAAGCATGTATTCAAAATAGCAAACCATCAATCTCAGAAAAACTGTAAGCTAAAATAGGAACATGTATGAAACAAAACTACTTAAAGATGTTTATGAGCAACAAAGCAAGAGTAATGCTGACCTTTTTTTCAGATTCTCTTCCTTTGGAAGCAGGCGGTATAAATGATGGCACATACCTGAAAAAGAAAAAATTTTTAGCAAAAAATTATATATATTTTTTATTCAATACAGTAAACAAGGCCATGAACAAAGCATATGATCTCCAAGGAACTCATTCACAAATCATAAGAAAACAATCTTGGACATTACCTATTGCAAAGATTTATGGAACCATTGATCTCAAACTAACACAATGATAGGTTTCTTGGCATTATGTTCATCTTGAACTATATTTATAAGGCCTTTTGGCATTAATAAATGATGGGCTTCTAAAATAATATTCATTTTGAACAGAATGTGTTTGCCTATTTGGAATTATTTATTAGCAAATAAAAAACAAACCACCTCCTATAATGTCTTGCATCAATCATCATCGCCCATGTCACCTTTATGAATCCTCATGCTCCATTTAGGCTACTGAGTCCTGCTAAAAATGTGAAATCTATCTTAATAAGTTTCATAGCACTTCTTATATCCACGTTACCAATGGTTTATCCTATTACTGTTTGATCTTTTCACATTAATTTTATCCGTTAGACAATTTGGTGCATCTTATCAATAAGTGCTACACCAATAATATTCTTCATTAAATCATTTGTCAATCAATCCTTCCTAATTTTGCTACATATTCATCTTAATATGCTCATTTCTTCCAAACTCGACTCAACTCTTTGTGAGTTATTAACAAAAACTCAAATCCACATAACACAACTAGCCTAATCACAATTACACAAAGTTCACCTTTGAAGTCACCATCATGTTCTATTATCTCATGAAACTCATAAAGCGGCTTTTTAAGCTAACAAAATTCATTCTAAAAATTTTGAAATAAACATATTAAATTCTCAATATAGTATATATCAGATAATTAACCTAGAATATCTTGGTTAATTTAGTCTTCAAGCATTATTGACTTGCAATCATAAAATTGACATTAAAATTGCATCTCAAAAAATAAATTAACCATGCTATTAATTTTAAACCCCTTACATTTTAAATATTTCATTCATTGTTCTATTTATACTCTTATTTTAGCTAATGTACACCACTTTGAATATCCTCCTTCAAAGACACTATAAATAAATATTAGATAAATGTTAATAATAATATAATCCTACTAGTGTTGGAAACACTTAGGTTACTCTGGAACTATTTTAAAACCATTTATTTTACTTCATACGTTCTCTAAACAATTGCCTTAGCACCAAAATCACATCCATAATGGATCTCCCTAGCATAGCTAAATGGATTCTCTGATACTAATATGATATTCAAATTAAAAGTGCATTATCTTCTCGTAAGAAACAATAACTTTATAATTAAACCACCAAATGTCAAACATATCATTTCGCTACAAATGTGCATGCCAAAATAATTCTTCCCAATCATGTTTGCATCCCCTTAAATATCAATATTATATCAAAAAGGCTTGTTAATAACCACTCCAATATCTCCAATACATATCCAAATCTGAAAAGATATTTCATTTAAAATTAAAGTTTTATCTTTGTAAAAAGACCTTTTTTGTATCAATGTACACTATGTTTCACAATTCTATTGAATATGATATTCTAAAAAAAAACCTATTTTAAACTCTAAACCAGTAAGTTACTAAGTTCCATAGTTTTTTCATTATTTATTCATGGCATTATGTTGCCCAAGTACATTGTTTAAAAAGATGTTTGAAACTTATGCCTCCGACCAGAAATGCACAAAAAAAAAGCCTTGAGGTTTAGGGGGGTGCGTTTGGGGCAGCTTGTGCTTATCATAAAACGTGGCCCGCTGAATTCGATCTACAACTTACATTTAGTGTAAAAACCCAACCGCATTTTCGGAGAAGCTGCCAAAACGTGTTTTCCAAAAGGTGAGGCGGCGTTTTCGAAAACGCCGCCCACACTTATAAGCTGCCCCAAATGGGCTCTTAATCTTTAATTACACCAGTGAGCTTTACACTTCTTTCGCCGGAGGCATATGTCTCGAGGCTTTATGCCTAAAAATACTTGAGACAAAAGAAATGTATATTTCAATACATTATTAATATATATTCTATTCTATTCTATTCTATTATATATATTTCATGCGATGCCTTAAAAAGTTCAAATAATAATTTAACTATGATTATTTAATTATGATTTTTTGTATTAAATTTAAATATAATTGATAATAATAAAAAAATTATAATAAATGATAAATATTTTAAAGTTACAAATGAGATAGAATTAGATAACAAATATAATGATACTTTTGAAGATGAAGAAAGTAGGGATGATGCCACTATGAATTTTAAATCTCATAGAATATTTAAATTTTAAGGGATTATTTACTTAGAATCACATTTCAAACTTCTACTTTATATAAATATTTAATATTAGGATTTGTGATTTATGTTTTTATGATAATAAATTACAACAACATATCAATGATTTATGTCCTATTTATGAATTATGTTTTAATTTTATGAGTTTTTTTGCTTTCTTGAGGCTTCTATCTCGATATGCCTCAAAGCTTACGCTTCACCTCATTAAAACAAAATATCTTGGTTCCTAATTCCTCTATTTTAAACATTTTTTTAGATTATTTCGCTATATTTCCATGATTCTCTATAAGTATTATTCCGTGTTATAAGCTTGAAAGTTCTGCCTGCGATCACCTCAAAATTTAGACAAGCTTCTCTTTCATTAAAAAAAAAACGACAATTTACTTCATATTTGAAAGCTCTACTTTTGAAAGAAACATCGTTATTCTAATTTCTTAACATATGTGCTCACTATATATGTTACTGAAAAATCAAGACTAGCTTCTCCCATAATATGTCATCTCCTCTTTTATACATTGCATAAATCCTCTTCTTGAGATTTGGAATAGAGCAACACACATTTATTGATAGACGGAGGGGTATTTAACCCCAATTATAATAGAAATAATAAAAGAAAGAGAGAAAACAGAATAAAGCAACAAGGAAAGAAATAAAACATAATAAAAGCAAATAGGAAATGCATAATAAGGGAATAAAATCTAATAATAATAACGATCAGGTATTGACGTTATAAATCTAATACTCCCCATAAAGTTGAAGCATAAATATTGGTGTTGTTCAAATTGGATTTGAAGTCATTGAACAAAGGATGATGATGACTCTTGGTGAGCTTGTTTGCTAGTTGACCACTAGAGGGCACATATGGAACATACATTTTCCCTAACTCAATTTTTTCCTTAATAAAGTGGCTATCAATCTCCACATGATTGGTACAATCATGTTGTACTGGATTGTGAGCAATGTTGATTGTGGTATTATTATCATAGAAAAGTTATAGTGGGACGAAGGTTGGCATACGAAGTTCGCAAAGCATGATACAGAGCAAAAAAGCTTCAAAAATTCCTGATGACATGGACCATAATTCTACACCAGCACAGCTTTGGGCAAACACAAATTGTTTTTTGTTTTTCGACGCGACAATATTGCCCCATACAAATGAGCAATACCCTGGGATAGAACGTCGAACATGAACTAATCCAACCAAATCAATAACTGTATAAACAACAATAGATCGAGAGGTGTGAAGGAAGAAAAAAACAAACGTGAGCCTGGTGTGCCTTTCAAATAATGGAGAATCTGATGGACAGTTTGAAGGTGGCGCTCATAGGGGATATGTATAAATTGACTCACTATACCAACAACATGGCAAATTTCGGGGCGAGCATGCGTGTGGTAAATGAGTTTTTCCACAAGATGTTGGTAACGAGTCTTGTTTACAGGCACAACATTGAGAATGCCAGATAATTTATTTATTTGAATCCATGGGAACAACAACTGGTTTGCACAAAATAATGTTATTATCTGTCAAGAGATCAATCACATATTTGTGCTGAGACAGACAAATGCCCCAAAATGACTGAGCCACTTCCATGCCTAAAAAGTACCGAATAGATCTCAGGTCCATTTCAAAGGACGTAGCAAGAATGTATTTTAAGGATTTCAATGTTGGGAGATCCAGTAAGAATAATAGCGTCAACATAGAAAATAAGGATAGCTATCTGACCATTAGAGGAATGTCGGAAGAAGAGAGTGTGATCCGGTTGAGCCTGAGTAAAACCATGGCCCACGAACACCTTTGTAAACCCGTCAAACCAGTTAGGGACTATTTTAACCCATAGAGGGACTTTCATAGCTCGCACATCTATCCTCTAGAGACAGTAGAATCAAAGTCAGAAGGGAAAGCATGTACACCTCTTCTATAAGCTCTTCATTCAAGAATGCATTCTTAACATTTAGCTGGAATAAAGACCAATCCAGATTTACCGCAAGTAACAATAGGATCTGCATAGTGTTTAGCTTAGTAAGTGGAGTAAATGTATCCTCATAGTCAACTTTGTAGGACTGTAAGTACCCTTTGGCAACCAATCATGCCTTATTATGTTCAAAGGACTCATCAAAGTTGAACTTGGTGCTAAAAATCCAACGGTACCCTACAACTTTCTTGCCCTGAGGAAAGTCCACGACGTTCCACGTATGGTTTCACTGAAAGGCATTCATCTCCTCAATTATTTTCATTTCCAAGCCGGATCAACAAGAACAACCTCAATAGTAGCTGGAACCTGATGGACCGCCAAAGCAATAGTAAATACTAGATATGTGCCACACATAACTAGGATAAAACTAAAAAATGAGTTACATCTTCAGAACATGTTCAACATCCATATTTAAAATACTAGAAACCAGTCAACGACTAAGAATTGTGCCTACACGTACCAGACTCCTTGACAAAATTCCCAAATAGCATATCATCAATGAAGTCATATGTTCTTACCTGAGAATATGCGCCCACATAACTAGGATAAAAACTAAAAAATGAAAGTTGATCCAACATTCAAACAATTGACACCCGAATATTCAAGAATGGCACCCCACCTAGACAATTCCCATGCAATCCAAGTTATTTAATCACTAGTTCAGTTATTGGCTCAGTAAGTATGTCCATCTCTTAAGCAATAACATAATAAACATTTCTCAATTTGA